TCTCTGATCAATTTCCAAGGTTTAAAGTGCTAGTGAATTCAATTTTGAGGATTTAAAATGCGATTTTCCCTTTATTTAACCAATAACCTCATCATTTTGTTATATAATAGACTGAGCTGAATGACCTAACAGTCTTTGAGCAGTGGCATCAAACATCAAGAAGCGGACATTGACGTCTGAATCATCAGTTACAAATAATACAATATAGTACCTACATAGTTTGTAAGGAAACAGGAGAGTGAGTTATTTAAATGTTACATGAATCAACATGTAATGTAGTGTCGGAATAAATGTATGATGGGACGAATCAATGGAATAAAATAATGCGACCATTTAGCCAGTCAATCAGAGAAAGTCTACATGAAATAATTCTGCTATATCTGCTATATATCTTACCAAAGAAAGTCTTAATAAAATAAGTAATGTTTTCTTAACTTTATAGGAAAAATCATTGTATTACCTTGCGACGATGGTATCATATGAATAAATATCTACACAATTTTTGCAACTGAAAAGAGGAATCCTCTTATCGTAATCTTCATCATCATGCATAATGTCATGCTCTAAAACTTTGATGTTACAAGGTTTGCATGCCCAATAATACCACAGCTTTGAAGTGTCAACGTCTTTGACCATTACACATGTTACAATCTTGCCAGGCTATAACAAAACCATTGATATGTATATAGTGAAATGTAAATATATTTGTACCATGAATAAAATATAGCTCATACCACTTTTGTATCATGAATTCCAGCTATTGTCCGCCTCCTATTTTTCACACCTAAAAATTCTTCACAGTAGTCAATAACACCACCCCAAGAAGTCGAATAACTCTGTTCAGCAGGCACAATCATTTGATTGTTTTTTGGCAACCTACAAAACCGTACAAAATAGTTATATAAATACAACAATGTTAAAATGATATGAAAATTGTGACATTACATACTTTTCTCTGAAGTCTTTCACGATCTTGACGTTCGAATCAAACAAAATTTTGGTGGAGTTGAAAGCGTTTGATATTGAAATGTCACCTATACTCGAAAACATAAAATAAGAATAATTAACAAACTAATGCAATACCAATCTCTACAAAACTGTGTACATATGAATAGGTGATATAGTGATCTAAAATTTGTACTCTTTTATACAGACAAATCGCATTACACAAACAACAATAGTAGCCATATGTTTGTCAGTGTACTCAACAGTTGCTTTTGCATATTGTCCCCATAATGTACATTTCAGTTGGACATCGCTTCAGCAATAAACATATTAGCGTTTCATTGTTAAAATATTATTATGTATATTTTGGTATGATATCATAACTACTTACTTGGTACCGCGGAGTGTTATCATCAATTTCTCGCTGATCCCATTTTTGCCTTTAGTTTTTATAATTTCCATACTCCCCACCATGACAATTTGTCCAATGACATCTTGAAGACAAAATATTTGTATACAATGATAAATATGTACATTAGAATATAATTATCAAAATCTCGATGATAAAATACCAATGATGATGTTTTTGTCGAGTTTGTCTTCCTTGATTGACTTGAAATCAGACAAATATTTTGCTAGCAAGTCTGATGGGAAATCATTAATCTCCTTAGCACGGGTGGTTCTGCACAAAGCGATCTTGTATGGTAATGGAGTAATCCTAAAATCACTATAGTATTCTTTAATGATGAAGCAATTAATAGAAAGTCATTTTCCTTCTATAAGGATGCCTTTATGTTTTGCGATCAATTCTTCATCAACAGTATCATGAATCCTAGTGCCCTGTGAATCACAGATAAATAGCATTATTATATAATCTATAGATTGATTAAATAAGAATAAACAAAATTCATAAGATCGCATACAAACCTCTTCGTCAACCAAAACCATTTCTATAACAAAGCCAGACTGCCTGTTCTTGACTTTCCAAAGGAAAAATATAGTAGCTCTAACTTTCTGAATTTCACTTGATTGATCTAATTTGGCAAATGAAACTATAGCAGCCGAACTTCTGCGGACTAAAGCCATTTTTGTGAATGAGAATGGTAGAGTTTTAGTGTTTAGGATATGTGGTATATATAGGGAGTCAATGAGAACATTTTAAAATTGATGTTGGGCGAGATTGAAATTATTTTGAAAAGGAGAATGAAATGAAGAATATGGATATTCAGAATGTGCGTAGAAGTAGGTATGTTGCGGAAATATTTGAGAATCAATAAATTCAAATTGATTTAATTGCCAAAATTGACGTATCTTATATATAAAAGAAGATCAACTCTCTCCATATGAGTAACACATCATCATTTTTAATTGATATGAAAGTGACATGTATCACTATTAGAATTTAAAGCTATATTTTCTTTAAAAAATAATAAATCAATTAATGTTAATATCAAGTTTCAAAACCACTCAAAGAAAATCAAGAGTTTTTTCATTAATTGATTGATATTTATTGTACTTTTTATATAATTCTCAATTTTTAATGATATTACATTTTAAATTGATTTCTAAAATTATTTTTTTGGATAAAATTTTTAAAATTGTTTATAATAACATATTAACACACATTACAAATAATGATTATATTTGCTTTTATATCTATGATATTATATTTTAAATTGATTTCTAAGATTATTTTTTATATATATACAATTTCTAAAATTGTTTATAATAACATACTAATACACATAACAAATAATGATTATATTTGTTTTTATATAATAAATTTTGAAATATGAGGTTGACATGTGTCATACTTTTTAATTTAAAGTTACAATTTTTTTTGAAAAATAATTAATAAATTTTGATTTTTAGTATTAAACGACTCAAAAATAAAAATAAAAATTAATTAACTTTTAAATCATATTTGTGTAAATGTTAAACAAGAATTCTATCATAATTAATTAAAAATATTGATGGCTATTTTTTGTATAAACTTTTGATTTTTTAATGATATTAAATTGAAATTGATTGATTTATAATAATATATTAACACATAATAAATAATGATTATATTTTTTTGGAAAATAAAAATATATATATATTTGAAATAGTTGGAAAAAACCCCGCATATTATGTGCGGGGTATTCACCTAGTAGTATTAAAATGTAAGATAAATTCTTGTTTTTTTTTGAAATATTAAGGTTTCTATATATTCTGTTACATTAACTCCGGTAAATATTGCTAATAGTTAATATAATCTTTTATTTTGGGAAAACATTCTAATTTTTTACGTGGAAAAGTTTTTAAAACCATAATTTCAAAAATTTGATAAATAGGTCTGTATGAAGTATTGGGCCAAATGATGTTTTTTAAAATACAGATAATTGGGCCGGTCGGATATAAAGATTCGCGTGTTTATCCGTTTAAGATTTTCTCGTTTTTTTAAAATCAGAAAAATCTGGACAGAAATTACACATCAGCATCCAATGAAATTACGCAGAGCTAGCGGCCTTGCCATGTCATATTTGGCGTGAAATAAACGTCATCATTAACATTGGCAAATGAGTTTTTCTAAGCCAAACAACTTAAAACAAATATATAGGATTTAGTAAGAGAGTTTTTCATTAAACTACATTCTCATTTAATATATAGGATTTAATAAGAGAGTTTTCCATTAAACTACATTTTCATTTAATATATAGGATTCATAAGGCTTTTATCAACAATAATTGTAGATTTTTTTAAATATGGTTGAAAAACTCAACTATATGAGTTTAATGAATTACTAAATTGAGTTTGTAATCATAATTGTAAAAAGAACACATTTTGTTGAAGCTGAATTGTTTTGTAAGGTTTATATATATTACAGTTATATGTAACTGTGAATAATATATAAAAAGGCATGCTTTTTAAATTTGGATAAGAAGCATGATTTAAACTTTGGACCAGCATCGGAACCAAGCAAGAAAACTTTGGACTTTCGGCCTTGATTCCATGATTTATCGGTCGCCATTTCTGTAAGATCTTCAAGTAGTCTAGTAGCAAAGGTTTCTGAACATGATTGGAAGACATGCAGTCTATGTTTCCCTTTCCAATTTTTTAAATTATTTTTTAAAAATCCTACTGTTTAATGGATCTTACTCTTTTTAGTTTGCTTCCAGTCCTCAGATTCTCAGGACCACCGAATCTGTTTTTGGTGTGCAGCCGTGGCTAAAACTTAATATAATGGCCAGATTTTGACCCTTAGTCACTGAAACATCACAGGCTAAAACAGTGGCGGAGCCACATTGAGGTAGGGTCATCCTCCTCCAATAAAATTAAAAAATTGGTGTATTTTTGAAAGCATAATATCAATGTCCTCACTCATAATATTATATATATATTCTTATTTATCTTCAATAAAGAAATTTTTTGGCTCCATCACTGGGCTAAATACAGTTTTTTATGATAAGTATAAATTAAACACATTTTTTCTATTGTGTTAAACTTGTGCTGTCACTCTTTCATAAATGTAGTTGATTTTACAATACATCTACTTTGTTCATCGGCAAACAGAGAGTCCTTAATTCTACTCACTCCTAATACATTTGTTGGTGTGCCTCATCCAACATGGCAATATCTGAAGAAATGTACTGTAATTTTAGAAATTGCGTAGTGAAACATGATGACGGCGGCTGCCGTATCACATTGAACAAGATATTGTTGAATAATCCATGACATTGTTTAATATAAATGTTGACATTTCTTTTAGAGAGAGAGACGTAGGATTATAATGCAGTTATTTAGTCGTCATTCGGTGGATCTTGTTAGTATTGGGAGACCAGGAGGGAGTAGACCTTACGTGTGAAATAGACGATGTTATTCAAACTATGTATCTCACACCACCTTTTTCACAATGTCATATTTTAACTCAATATTCATAATCTCTTCCTCTATATAAGCAAACCCAAGTCAGTGATGACCAATACATTGACACACACAATCTTGAGAAAAGAAGAGAGAGAGAGAGAGAGAGAGAGAGAGAGAGAGAGAGAGAGAGAGAGAGAGAGAGAGAGAATGAAGTCCCCTTACAGTTCTTCTTCTTCTGATGATCTCCATGATTTGGTGAATGAGATCAAGAGAGAGGTTCAACTGTCAAACATTAATCTTGATCCTTACTCATTTGTCTCTCCTTCTGCTTACGACGCTGCTTGGTTATCCATGATTGAAGAAGACAACGACGTAGGCGATGGTGAGCTTAGACCGATGTTTGGAGAGTGTCTAGATTGGATTATGTGCAATCAAAATGCCGGAGAAGGTTTTTGGGGAAACTCCGGCGGTTATACTCCGGTGGCTGACGCCGGAGACAAAGACGAAGAAGACTTGTACACTTTGGCTTCTACTCTTGCTTGTGTTGTTGCACTTCACAAATGGAACATTGGGTGTCTTCATCTCCACGCAGGTGCGTTGACTTTGATTTTGCATTATTGTTGCTCTTTGAGAAACCTATCCGTATAACTGTACAAGTAAATACGTAACTCACTACATAGGGATCACATGATTCACATGCATGGCCTGCGTTATTCACGTGCTTACAGCTTATATATTTAGATAACAAACATTTTTTCTTTTTTATCAAAAAGATTTTTTTTTTTTTTTGGTCAAAAAAATATTTTGTAAATGAAAACTAAAAATAACAAGAATATTTACATATTCAACAAACAGGCTCTTGGTCAGTTCACTGTCATTGTATCTTGTAAATGAAAACTAAAAATAAATATAAAAATGTAACTAGGGAAGAGATATATCGAAAGAAGAACGGAGATGATAATCAGGAAATACAGCAACGAAGATGGATCCTATCCTCGTTGGTTCGTTATCAAATTCACAGGAATCATCGAGCTTGCTCAACAACTTGGCCTACACTTTGTTTTCTCCAGTCGCTGTATTGAAATGATCAAAGATGTGTTTTATGAACGCCAAGATATTCTCAAAAGGTAACGTTACATGAGAAGAAATCTTCAGCAAAATATTCTCCTCATTAACATATATCAAAAATCATTATCAACATTTTTGTGTGTGTGTTTTCCAGAGAAAACTTGGTGGATGATTGCAACCATAGCCCTCTACTGGCATATCTAGAGATATTGCCATCGACATTATATGTCGAAAACCTTGAAGACATCATAATTAAGAGCCTCGGCAATATCGATGGCTCTTTATTTCAGTCGCCTTCGGCAACTGCATCAGCATTTATGCTCACCCGCAACCCAAAGTGTCTTGCTTATCTTCAAAATGTCGTTCAAAGATGCCCAAATGGAGGTCAAATTTAAGCTTTAAAGCTAAAGATAATTTCAGTATAGTTAGTATTAAATCGCATTTTAATATTTCTTAACAATTTATATATGATTTCTCGTTCAGTGCCACAAAAGTACCCTCTCAATGAAGAACTCATAAAACTCTCCATGGTTAATGTAATCGAGAATATCGGTTTAGGAGAATTCTTTGGTAGAGAGATTGAACATGTTGTTCAACAAGTTTACAGGTGAAGATAAGTTTCTAATAACCATTTTACATCTATTTCGATAGATAAAACGTAAGAATTTTTTTTTTGTTTCCATTGTAAAATTAAGGAGTTACGGGGAAGAATATGTCGAGAGAATGCCCATCAGTTGCCTAGCAGATAAATTGCACAAAGACTCTCTTGCATTTAGGATGTTAAGAATGCGAGGTCACACCGTTTCGCCGAGTAAGAACTAACTCTTATTTCGATTACATGACTTCTTTATTCTATTCTTTGCCGAGTTTGAAAGTCGTTGTATAAATACTTTTCAGGAAGCTTTTGCTGGTTCTTGAATGATCAAGAAACTCGAAATCATTTCGAAAGAAATATAGACTCTTTCTTCTTCGTCATCCTTAGTGTTTACAGAGCCACAGATCTCATGTTTCCAGGAGAGCATGAGCTTGAAGAAGCAAGAGAATATACTCGGCATTTACTCGAGCAAAGTCGATTTATTAATAAAAAAATGGTATAATGATTTTTCAACAAGTTGAAGTGTTTTAAGTGATTACAAATGCATGGCTTAATGATTAAAATAAATAATGATTGTTTTATAGGTTAAGCATGAATTAAGTACTCCATGGATAGCTCGACTTAAACACCTTGATCATAGGATGTGGATTGAGGACAAGAACTCAACTTTTCTCTCAATCGGAAAAGCCTCCTTTCTAAGGTATATATAATACACATGAAATTGATCTATATCTAGTTTTAGATCCCTTAAAAACAAGCTAATCCAAGGGTTTTTATTTTTGTGACTTTTGGAATTAGACTACACAGCCCATATAGCGACAAATTGACTCATCTTGCTGCAAGAAACTTCGAGTTTCGACAAGCCATATATAGACGTGAGCTGGAGGAATTGACAACGTAAGTAGACTTGATTTACTTTCACTACATGGTAATTGTGAGAAGAAAAGCATTTTGTTATAGAAAATTTGCGTTTTTGGTACACAAACTCTAATCCATGAAGTGAATTGAAACAGATGGGTGAAGAAATGGGGGCTTAATGATATTGGTTTTGGTAGAGAGAAGACAACATATTGTTACTTTGCAACTGTGACTTCATTGCCCTTTGAATCAGCCATTAAAGTTGGAAAGCTTACAGCGAAGATTGGCATCCTCATCACAGTTGCCGACGATTTCTTTGATGAAGAAGGTTCTTTGGATGAGTTAAAAGCTCTTAATAAAGCCGTTACAAGGTACTTTTGTTAAAATCTCGGTATAATTAGAGACAATCCTAGTAATTTAATTATGGATATAATTTCGTATTATAATCTTATTAGTCTGTTGATTCTTGATTGGATTTTTTTTCATAAATATGATGATAGGTGGGAAGGAGAAGAACTCAAAGGTTACGGCGATATCATATTTAGAGCACTTGATGATATTGTAAGAGAGACTAAAGAGACTTGCCTTAAGCAACACGGAACCGACATAACAGAGCAGCTTCGCAACATCGTATGTCCTTGATAAATGATTTTTTGAAAAATGGCATATTTGATACAATTATAAGGACCACTTATTCCCTGCTTTATCATTATTTTTTTTTCTTTATCAACTTCTTAATATTGATATTTTTTTTGACTTATGAACAACATTAAGAATTTTGTTTCCGTTTTTATTTATACCGTCAACTTATATTTTTCTTTCATCGATTTATTATTTTTGACTCATTCAAAACAAGAACACACAGCCTATCGTATTTAATAAAACTTTTTCTTTATGATTTAAAATTAAAAAGTCAATGTACAGAAGAAAAAAAAATTAAAATAAATTCTAAAAATATTTTCTTCAAATAATTATGTAGTGGGGTGAAACTTTTGAGTCATGGCTACGTGAAGCCGAATGGAGTAAGAAGGGACATATGCCTTCAATGGAAGAATATCTTCGAAATGGGATGATTTCAATCGCAGCACACACTATTGCTCTTTCCATCTCATGTCTATTTGAACCTCTTTTCCCTCTACATAAACTCAACCGTCGAAAATATGATACGTTAACCACATTGCTCATGACAATACCTCGACTCCTAAATGATCTACAAAGTTATCAGGTGATTCGAATTTAGGATTTTTTTGTCTTTTATATTTATCTGTTTAGAGCATTAATTATTATGTTTTTGTATGGTTTTACCAATCATACATGTCATGCAACGTAAATTCACAGAGGGAACAAGAACAGGGAAAGATCAACTCCGTCCTACTCCACATGAGGAATACTTCAGGTCTCCAGATTGAGGACTCGATCGCTCATATTGAAAAGATAATCGATTCAAATAGGAAAGAGTTTCTGAAACATGTACTAGTGGATGGACTAAGTGATTTACCCAAACCGTGCAGAGAAATTCACATGTCTTGTTGCCAAGTCTTCGAGATGTTTTTCAACAAGAAGAACCGTTATGATTCAAATACAGAGATGCTTCAAGACATTAAGAAGGCTCTCTACGATCCCGTGAATGTAAACAAACTCTCAGAGATCGAGCCTATGCCACTGATGGGACATGGCTATGAGTTTCTGATGCTTCCCCTACTTCTGAACCGTTCCCCAAATATTCTTGAATTTAAGAGGAAAGAAGAATACAAGGTGGTGAAAACATCCATGTGCTTGAGAAGAAGTTTTCATGCTCATAAACGCGTTATTGCCTCGCAGCCTCTCAAGATTTTTTCCTCGCAGAGGAACCTGGTATCAATGATGCCAACCAAATTCTCACCCTGCTTCTACTGATTAATACATTGTCTTAATAAATTGCTATGTTGTGTATAGATTGTTGAATAATGTTTACATGTCTTGCATGTAAAAATAGTGTTTTCTTTTTGTGTGAATTGGTAAAAATTGTAGGTGTGTGAGTGTGAAAGATTTAGAAAATATATTCTTTTCAAATTGAATTTTGCTAGCTATAATACTACAAACCATTGTTGTACCAAAAAAGTAAACACATAAAAGTGTGTCAATATTCTTTTAATTAAACTATATATTTATTTATTAGCTTATCATAATCTTCAATATAATTTTTTTTTTTCTCTATAGCGACAAAGGAGGAGGAACTCCGTTGAGAAAGGCGGAGAAAAACGCAAGGGATTCGCTGGGTTTGAACGAAGGCACATCATGCCCTGCTCCTTTGAACGTTGCGAACGTTAAACCTTCATATTCTTGAAGCCATCCACTAACCTAACAATCACAAAGAAAAACAATATAATCGTCACGCTTCAAAAACAACTCTTATTATTTATAATTCTTAATTAGTAACTTTTGAAACGCTATCACTTTTAACCTGTTTCTCGTGGTACCATGGCCTCCAAGAGGTCTTGATGGGTAATTCCAATTTATTTATGCAATACCTTGTCCCGAGTACGGGAGCTCGTCCGTCTGTGTCGCCGCTGAGCCAGCACCAAGGAGAAGAAAACAAACATAAGCAAATGATCGTCCTATATATGTATCAGAAAATGCCTTAAAAAATGATAATCAAAAATCTAAGATAAAAGTCAAAGTGTAAAATATATGTTTGAGACTTTGAGTAATGAGTCACAATCATCATTATTTATTTATTGGTTTTTTTTTGTCGAAAGCTTAATTTCATTGAAATTAAATCAAAGAGTTCAAGAAAGCTGGAAGAGATAATTCTTTTGAGCTTTCTTGAAGAGATTCTTTTGCAATCAATTCAGCCCCAACATTACCAAGAGGCCTTAACAATGGTGTTGATCTCGATATGAATGTCTTGAGAAGTAAGAAGTTTGAAGAGGGCAAGAGGGTTTGAGAGTCATGTATTTATTGGTTTACTATCAAATTAAAAATCGGAAACCAATTAGAAGGTCGACATTTACCTGTAAACCCATATTCTAAATCCTCCAGCGATTAATTTCTTATATATTGGCAAAACTGAGGGTTTTGAATCAGCCCAATTATGAAAAATATCATCACTGTTTGGCAGAAGAAAAAAAAGAGAGATTATGTTGATAAGTTATATATATATAGATAGAGGCAAAAAAGTCAAATAAAAAAATAATAAACAAGAGTAATCTTACTTGCAAATGTTCCAATTCTTGAGATGAATACCATCACTTGCGTGAAGAGCTTTCTGGACATCTGCTCTGTTGTAGAATACTCTAGTGTAATCATCCAAACACGGGTCATATCCACCCATTATCCTCGGCATCTATTGAGAGTTTTAGGTAAGTTTTAGTCGCCAAAATGTGACATATATCTACACAAAAGTAAATGAGTCTTTAATGAGTTACCATTTTGGAATTGGCCAAACTAGTCTTGAATCGTGTCGAATCAACGGAGGAAGCAAGCGTTGAATTTCCAATACAGGTAGGAGTATAGAGACTGTATTGGTCAATTTTGTGATATTGTTTGAGTACTTCGTCTACGCCGTCTTTGCACTCTTTAACATCCCAAATAGTGTTACTACTAAAATTGCAACTTCTTTTTATGACTCCATACGTCTCGTCTGATATCACCGCATGGCTCCATGCGTAATCCACCCATCCTTCCCAATCTTCGGCTTCTGATATTTCAGGGTTTCCAAGCTGACCACCAAAAGAAGAAAATATGATAACGTCAAGTTTAGAGAATTATAGATCAAATATATAAATTTATTTAGCATTATAAGATCAAAATTACTAAAGCACTTAAAAATTCAACTCTCAGGTATTGAATATTGTTAAAACCCCTCATTTTAAATATACTTATTACCAATATATTTGGTTTTGAGTTAAAAATTTATGAAACTTAACATAATATCACAGCTCCAACACACACCAGCCCAACCATAACAGAAAATCATTCTAATTAAAAATTGGTCCGGAATCGAAAATGATGCCAAAAAAATAAAAATAAAGAACATAGACCAATATACTTATTACTAATATATTTTACCAACTCTTTTTCATTTAAAAAAAAAATCAACATAATATCACACCTATAACACACACCAGCCTAACCATAATCCAAATCATTCTAATCAAAAATTGGTCTGGGAATCGATCTAATCTGAAACTAATCCGAAAGTGAGATTCTATCGAGATGAACCAGGATTCAGAAGTACCAAAAATACGCAAAGCTCCAAAATGAAAAATGAATAATGCATGATGTAATTTTTTTTAGTATTATTACCACTAAGCGTATTGAAGTGTCCTCAAATATCAATCATATATAACAAGTAACGATGTTTTGTATGTACGTAGTACTAAAACCAAACATACCAAAATGCCCTTAAGTTTGATGTGAAGTGAAGAGTTATCATTGTTCTTGTCAAAAATGATCTCTGCAAGCTCTGGTATGTACTTTCCTGCATCGTTTGTTGATAAATCAAAACATAGATCAAAACGATAGATGATGATACAATGATTTTTTAGTGCTAAGTCCAAACCTGCATAGCTCTCTCCTGCTATATAGAAATGGTTTTCTCTGTAAGCTGGGAATCTCTGTAACCACTTTTGGATAAAGGCGTATGTGTCTCTCGCTGTTGATGGTGTTGAACATAGTCATCACGTTTGTTAAATACATGCCATTATAATGATTTTGACGTCTAAAATAGGGATGGGCAAAATTTCTCACTTTGATACATTTTCTAATTTTAAGAGATTTTCAAAACAAATCGTTAACCAAAAAAAAAAAACATTTACCAAACAAATCAAGCAAATCAAATCTCTTAATGCATTTAACGTGAGAACGACTGAATACCTGTCATTACTTATTATCATTAAAAACATTTACTAAACAAAACAACCAAATCATATTTAACGCATTAAACGTGAGAATGACTAAATACCTGTAAAGTCATCGCCGAGTTCTTTATAATCACTACTTGTGTTTGAATACGAAAATCCAACACCAACGGGAGATTCTAGAAACAGCATGTTGGCCTCTGCATCATACAAATTAAACATATCTATTTACGTACCTTTAATTATTTACTACTATAGACTAAGAACATCTCATTGAAAAAGAAAATAAATAATTTCATTCATTGCCATTTAGGATGAAAAAGACTACTTTGAAACATATATATATATATATATATATTAATGTAAAGATACACCATACGGTATAACGATATGATAATGAACTTATATACATATGTAGAACAAAATAAATCTGGTATACCTTTATTCCATGCGTAGGGGTTAAACTTAATACTGTTTCCTTTGTTATCCACGAGAAATGGACCAATCTCTTGTGTTGCGCCATATCCCACGGAAGAACATCCAGGTCCTTTAACAAAAAAAAAAAAAAAACATTCAGGTCTTATGTGTATGATTAACATAAGTATGTTTCCTTATGATTAACTCACTGAGTTTGATTACCTCCATTAAGCCATAGTACTAAAGGCTTCTGGTTTGGGAGACTCATAGCCTCGAAGAACCAATAAAACATAGCCCTCCCATTTGTTTTATTAACCGGGACATAACCGGCGTAATGTCTAATGCTCATAGTACCAGACTGGCCAGGCAAATCCGTAACGAGATCTCGCATTGCTTCTGAGCTATCAGACGAAACAATGGTGAAAAGAATGCAAAAACATAAAGCAATGGACACATTGTAAATAGTTTGATGACTCATTAGGGAATGAGATTTTGAAAAGAGATAAGAAGAAGAAGTAATGAGGTTGTTGACAATTGAGGCTTGGATTTTCTCTATTTATGTACCAAAAGACTGTGATTCGATTTTGCTTGTTGTTTCCAATGTGGAAAATAGTCCTCTGTGGCAATTAATATAATGCCATCTTGTTACACTGTTAGTCAAAGATTGAAAAAGAAAAGAATATACTACTAACGTATATATATATAGATATATATGTGTTAAATAATATCCTAATTTATATTTTCCTTAATGGTATTCTAAAACAAACAAAAATGTCGAAGAACTTTATCGTCATGCACTCAGACTTCATTTTCTCTTCTCGGTTCTATTTTTTAGATTTGAATAGCGATGTGATTCGACTATACATGGTATGATGACCCGAATCAGACCGTCTAGTTGGCAAGTGTATAAAGCAATGTCCATTTTTGCGTTCAGGTGTACCATTTTAATAAGATGCAAGTGCACCAAAATACTAATTTATTGGTTATTTTAAAACTTTTGCGTTTGAAAAGACAAGTTTTGATGCAAAACATGAAAATTTGAGAAGCAAAACCAAAGTGAGTTTGGACGTAATACCAAAATAACTTTCAGCGCTTTGCGGAATGGCGAAATTGCGGAAAAAATCTTGCGGAATAGATTAACCGACTTATAAGTCGCTTTTCTGCGGAATGATTTTTTTTTTATATTTTTGTTAAGCAAAAACGCAGTCTGCGTTTTTGTATGTATTTTTTCATTACGCAGATTTTTGTTGATTGGCAAAAAACCTGCAGAATTGTGTTTAAAAAGGCAATTCCATCATTCCGCAGGTTACCAATCAGAGCCTTAATATTGTTTATTTAGTGAGGAATGAGGATCGTTTATTTGTAATAATGCTGATGTTAAAAGCGATTGTGTAAGGCAACAAAACTAAGAAATTGGAATCCAAAATGATGATGATGTTTTTGAAATAAAAATCCCTTTGAGAATTTCCTTAACATCAAAAAATGATGATTGGATACAAACTAAACAACAACATATAGATTTCAAAACGTTACAATTTTGCAGTAAAGCCAAGTTTCACTGCCTTACTCGAACAGACTGAAACCCATGTCCTGCAAAATTCAAAACAACAAAAGTGTTAGCATTCATTTCATTTCAAGCAAATGTTTGATGGGTTAAGAAAACAGAAAAAAGAACTTACATCATCGGATTCTTCCTTCTCTTCTTTCTTCTCTTCTTTCTTGGCCTCAGCCGCAGGAGCAGCCCCGCCTCCTCCACCACCAGCGGATGGAGCAGAAGCCATCGCAACACCACCACCACCAGATGGCACTGAAGCTAACTTCTCCCTTCCAGCAGCAATCAGCTCAGCCAAGTCTTTCCCTTTCACTTCTTTTAACAAAAGCTCAATCTGAGCATCTTCTGTTTCAGCACCAACTGCAAAAACAAAAGATAACCACAAAACTCCATGATTCCAACAACACAGTCCCACTTTCACACCACAAATGCAGCTTATTGGATCACATTGCTCATCATCTATTCATTACTCCAAGTTTGATTATACATAACTTCACATTTCCAGCATGTAAATGTCTAAGGCCTATGAACACAATCTTCCGAAGCAAACAAAGACTTCCAACGATTTCACTAGTGAAATCCCACAACAGTGTCTCAAATCATACCACAAATGCAGCTTATTGGATCACAGTTTTCATCATATATTCATTACTCCAAGTTTGATTATACACAACTTCACATTTTCAGCAAGTAAATTGTCTAAAACAAAAACTTTCTAAGCAAACAAACAGTTCCCAATGATTTCAATAGCGAAGCATTTGAAAAAAAAAAAAAATCCCACAGCACAGTCCCAAATCATACCACAAATGCAGCGTATTGGACCACATTGTTCATCATATATTCATTACTCGAAGTTTGATTATACACAACAACTTCACATTTCCAACAAGGCCTATCACGAACTGAGTAAACACAAGTTGAAAAAAAAACTTTCCTAAGCAAACAAACAATTCCCAACGATTCATTTCTGGTTAAGTTAGTTCTCATGTATTTACACATTAACGCATATCTCAACATCGAATCTTAGACCAATTGCAGTCAAATCTACGTGAATTTTTCTAAAGGATTTCAAAATTCAAACCTGATCCGAGGATATCCTTGATATCGGCACTGGTTGGGGAAGCTTTTCCGCTCAAAACGGCGAGTAAAAAGGCGGCGACAACCTTCATTTTCTGAGAAAACAGAAGAGTGAGTAAGAAAATTTTCTAATAGATACAAAGTGAAGAAGATACGTAGAACAAGAAAAGATGAATTGAGAAGCTTACTGCAGCTGTTGACGGAAGACTTTTCGAAGACGGCGATGAAGAAGATGTGAGGAAATAAGGAAAGTATTTGATTTATATATATTTAGGGTTTTACGGCGTTTTCTCCTCTCTATCATTGTCTCCGGTTTAAATTACCGGTATACATTTGCTTGGGCCGAGTTTTTTTCCAAGCCCAAACTTATTTGGGCTCCACTTCAGTTTTGAGTCATTTGCTAACTAAGAACAAGTGGTTAATCAGGTTTGATTGTTTTGTTTACTAGTAAGGACTTTTTGTCAAACTTAGAGATCTCAGATCTATCACTATTATATATGTGATTTACAAAATAAAAAAATAAAGCTCTCATTCATTTTTCAAACCTGAAAAAGCTATTTTTGATGTGTATAGCAGGAAATAAAACAGAGTAAATGATAGCGAAATTGTAACATGATAGTTTCGACACCAAATTTATAATTTAGCCTACCATGAACGAAAAGGTAACACATAAACCTAAATAGTATATATATCCATGCATACAATGCAATCATTATCTGAGTTCATTTATATATTTTCTCTATTTTAAATTGGTCGGTATTTTAAAATAGCGTGGAGCTCTGTCGTGATGAAGGAGGAGGAAGTCCGTTGAGGAAGCAAGAGAAAAAGGCGAGGGATTCGCTAGGTTTGAAGGAAGGCACATCATGTCCTGCTCCTTTGAACGTTGCGAATGTTAGACCTTCATATTCTTGAAACCATCCACTTACCTAATTATTATCATAACCAAACAAAAATATATTGAATAACAACAATTCATGTAAATAACATCGATTACTTAGTAGTATTTTGATATGTACGTGATGATTGATTGTGACCTGTTTCTCGTTGTACCATGGCCTCCAAGTTGTCTTGATTGGTAGTTCCAGTTTATTTATCCAATACCTTGTTGAGAGTACCGGGACTCTTCCGTCAGTATCGCCACTGAATCACCACCATGCACCCACGAGATGATATAAGTAGAGTTAAATTATTTAATGATCGTTATATGCATCAAAATTTAAGAAAAACTAGCTTTCCTTGGAACCAAGAAGGAAAATAGATGGATAAAACAGTTTGCTTGGGTGGGAAGCAACCAAGTTTAAATGTATGTTTTAGTCCCATATTACTTATATGTAATGTTCTTATTGAATTTGAAGTATCAAATGGATACAAATTATATAACTGTTTTGGAAAGTTATTGTTTGCCGAAAATGTACAGATATGTTTACCTGTAAACCCAAACTCTAAATCTTCCGGCTATGAGTTTCTTGTATATTGGCAAAACCGATGGCTTTGAATCAGTCCAGTTCCAGTGACTAAAAATATCATGGCTATTCCTCGGAAAATAAATAAAAAACAGATGAATTTAGATAAAATTTACCATATATTATCCGAAAAAAATTAAAATGAAAAACAAAAGAGGAAATAATACTTGCAAATGGTCCAGTTCTTGAGATGAACACCATCAGTTGCGTGAAGAGACTTTTGTACATCAGCTCTGTTGTAGAATACTCTTGCGTAATCATCCAAACACGGGTCAAATCCATCGAAAAGCCTCGGTATCTGTTAAAGTGTTTCAGTTAAGTTCTCTGGTCGTAAAATACACAATCAATGTGTTATTATAAGTAGTTTTAATTACCGTCTTGGAACTTGGGTATGAATCAAGTTTTGATGAATGGTGAATGCACATAGGAGTATAGAGACTGAATTGATCGATCTCTTTGTATTGTTTAAGTACTTCGTTTACGCCGTCATTGCATTCTGTAACCTCCCAAGTAGTGTTACTGCTGAAATTGCAACTTCTTTTAATGGTTCTATAAGTCTCGTCCGATATCACTGCGTGGCTCCATGCATAATCCACCCATCCTGTCCAATCTTCTGCGAATGATGTCAATGGATTTCCAAGCTGCGTCCATAAATAAATAACAGGCAAGTGTATCATGTCTCAAATGGAAAATGGGACAAACGCACGTACTTAATTTATGTTGGTTTAGTGTTTACGAGAATCAAACATGTTTACTACAATAGTTAGCAAAAAGAAAAAAAAACATGTTTACTACAAACAATTTGAGCAATGTACCGACTATGTACGATGGTTTATGTGTAGTGATATATCATATATGAGATTCAGATAAGGTTCAAACATCAGGTCTAAATAATATCTATTAATATATATAGATCGGAAACGGAAAATGTACAATGGTAATTTGTTTAGTGTTATGAGAATCAAACGTGGTAATTACCAAAATGCCTTTCAGATTAATGTGAAGTGACAAGTTGTTCTTGTCTTCCTTATTTTTGTCATAAATAACCTCTGCAAGCTCTGGTACGTATTTTCCTGTACATTAATGAGTGTTTATATTTCGATGTACATATATTTAGAAGAAGAAAAAAAATCAACACAAATCAGAACCCTAGTTGACGTATAATATGCTGCTCATTCTATATTAAAATTAAAACCTGCATAGCTCTCTCCTGCAATAAAGAATTCGTTTCCTTTGTAAGCTGGGAATCTCTCGAACCACTTTTGGAGAAAAGCGTATGAGTCTCTCGCTGTTGATTGTGAATAAAAACAATCAATCGACGTCCAACAACAACAAGACTATAAAAGATTATATAATTTGTAAATACATATATATATATATTAATTCATTTAAATATATTATGACCTGTAAAGTCATCGCCAAGTTTTCCATAATCACTACTTGTGTTTGAATACGAAAACCCAACACCAACAGGAGATTCAAGAAATAGTAAGTTGGCCTCTGCAATACCACCAAATTTAACCAATTTAGTCTCGTGTATAATACATATGGTTGATTTAAGTTTAACCAATTTAGCTCTCTCTCTTTATATACCTTTGTTCCATGCGTAGGGATTAAATTTAATAGTGTGTCCTTCGTTATCCACAAGAAATGGACCAATCTCTTGTGTTGTGCCGTATCCCACAGAAGAACAGCCAGGACCTATATGTATTATATAGTTATGAACAATAAATAAATAAAAAACAAAATGTGTCTTCATAAGCACACAATATTAATAATTAAAATTATGTGAAATTAGTTTAATTTTCTTATAAGTCAAACTGTGAGTTTGATAACCTCCATTAAGCCAAAGCAGTAAAGGCTTCACGTTCGGTTGATTCATAGCCTCGAAGAACCAATAAAACAAAGCCCTCCCATTGATTTCACTGACCGTGACATAACCGGCGTAATGTCTGAAGCTCACTTTTGGTTGGCCAGGAAAGTTTGTCACGAGATCTCTCATTGCTTCGGGGCTATCAGACAAAACAAACGCGAAAAGAGTGCAAAGACACAAAGCAATGGACATATTGAAAATGTTCATAGTTTGATGAATCATTGATAAAGATTTTCAAAAGAAGATAGTAAGAAGTCTTAATGGGATGAGATGGAAGGCTTTGATGTCTATCTATTTATAAGGAAAGATCGTGACTCGATTGTTGCAACAAGGGAAATTTTTGTTTTCTTTCTTTTCCTTCAAAAACATGAAATAAATATTTTTGGTGGATATGTAAGAATAGTATTCTATTACTAACTATTTATTATTTATTTTTTTTAAAAGTAAAAATGAAAACACAGAATAGTATCCTATGTGGCAATTAATGGATTTAGAGTTTTTTTTTTGTTTAAGACGCCTGGATGCAACTCTTAATGTCTTTAGCTTGATCACTTTGACGGATAAATTCATCCGAAATATTTCAGGATTTTTCGACCAAATATTGTATAATTTTCTTAAATTTACCTGTTGTATTTCTGCAAACTGTTTTCCTCTAAATTGGAACAACAAATAAGCGTAATTAATAGTAACTTACAAAACAAACCTAACCTATATTTTTTTAAAAGAAAACAAACCTAACTTAACTTAAAGCCCAATGGAACCAAGGTAAGCCATAGTAGTTGACACAATATAAAGTCCTCACATAATTAATTGGAAGCAGCTGGTAATTAGTAATTAGGTGATTGGGACCTAAACCAGCATTGCATAAATGTACCAGCCTATTAACTGCATCAAGAACTACCGTTATGTAATGCTACTTTCTTATTACAATAAGTATTTTAAGGAGTTTTATTAGTCTATACTAAGGGTCGCTTGAAAATTTCAATACAAATTTTGGCACAGAAAAGATTATTGAACATCAATTCTAATGAATAATTCCAAAAGGCATCTTACATTTTAAGGGTTTAACAAAAAAATAATATATTTTATTAACTTGTGTGAAAAATGTCAAAATGATACTTATTGTGAATTAGAGGGAATATGAATTTTAAAACTTATCTTAAAACCTTATTTTTGTATGGCTATTAATTAATTATAGATATTCATGGCATTGTAGTATCCAGGTGATTTTCTAGTGAGCATATTGAAAACTATAACCTAATATAATTTGGAATTCATGTCGACTTATTGAAATCCAAAGATTATAAATAATATCATTATATTTTCTCAAAAATTATCGATTAATAATTTAGGTTTATGTTAGAAAATCATCTTAAAAGTTCTACAAAAATTAATTTAGAAATAAGTTTGACATGGTAATAAAAAATTTGGATATACTTTTAAAACTAGTAATTGGATAATTTAGTCTTACTTATATTATGAATGATAAAACTATATGTTTATAAATTTACTATGATCCATTATCACATTATATAAAAATAATTAAATATAAGGTTAAATTAATCTAGATATTTTTTGTATGAATCTGTTTAAATATATTTGAAATTCTTTCACGAAAAACTGTATTCTAGGACTATTATGGAGCGGATGAAGCACTTTCTTTGGATTTTAATCACGAAATGGCTAAAAGTAATGCAACTTTTTTTTTCACCAGTAAAGCAAAGATTATATGATCATATTAAACCTATGAAAATAGGAAAGTTAATTAGCCCCACAAAAGCATTACTGCATAATATATATATATATATATATAATATATCATTTTATGGAATGTGCGTACATATTACATACGATTCGTTTGGACGAACATGCCCAAGTTACCATACCAACGATTTTTGTTTGTAAATATCAACAAATTGTTGTTTGTAGGATTTGTAAAATATGAGACGCAACATAAATGGTTTTGATAAATTATACACGGTGAAAAAGTAGGCATGCATTACCGTAAATCATCATTTTCAAACATATACCGTAAATCATAAAATTTTGTCTGGGACAAAAAAAAAAAGATCATCATTTGTATACCATTAAGCTTGGATTAGCAAGAGAAAACAATTTAATAAGAATAATAGAAAAAAGAAAAAGAATGCAAAGAACAAAATTCTCACAACTAGCTAGTAAGCTCTAACGTCATAACGAGAAAAGAGTCATAGGTTATATGTGGGATATTCTTACAACATGGCACGTTGAAATATCTTTGAACAATTGATCTTTGCGAAAGAAAAAGAGGTACATATTCGAAATTGTATACTACAAGAAAATGATGAGGTTAAAAATAAATGACGCTAACCACCTTTTTCTTGTAGTGGTTAGTGTCATTCAATTCATATATGATTTATGTTCTTCCCAAAACTTAAATGGTTTCAACAAACTCAGATGGTTTCGCTAGCTAGCAAACTACGAACATAAAGTAAACTGTTTGTTGAATGCTAAAGAGACGACAAACAAATAATAAAATAGCTTTAACAAAAAAAAAATAAACAAAAACAAAAATAGTGCTTTGTTGAATATATTTTTGTGTGCTTTGTTGAATGGTTATGACATGGAATTCAACTTACTATTTTGAGTACTGAAGGGGAATCTTATTCGCATTATATTAAATCTTCCGTGAGACATTTGGTATTTTGGATTCCTATTAGTCAATATAATTAATTAATTTACATAGTGGAAAGCTTATCTTTTGTGTAATAGAAAATTGGTTTCACGCATGTGATATTTCAAATTTTAAGTCCAATAATCCTTTCCGTAGACGGTAGAACCCATAAGTTAGTGAATAGCCACTAGATTGTAATTTATAGGTTATTTATGGTCTATATTTGGAATGCATGAATATAATTCTCTTAACATTTGAGAACACAGGCGTGAATAGTTTTTCATCCTTTTTCTCCTAGTTCTTTTTTTCTGTTTTAAATATAATCTTTAAATGGCTATAGTGCTATTTGCTGAAAAAAATTGGCTATAGTGCTATAATAATTTATTGGCTTTTATTAGTCTAACCCAAAATTGAAGATTTAAAAATAAAATTTGTGACAAATGATGGGGACTATAATGCCACTTGTATATGTCTATATAAGAACTATATTATGTACCAATTAGAAGTTAATTAGAACCGTAAAAATATGTGCATTTGTAACAGTCTTATCGGCCTATAAATCTTGGAAATTGTAGTTAACTTATGATCGATCAAACATTTATTTTAATAAGGAAGCATATCTTACATGTCATTTATTAACATTGTATATGCACATATGTTGAAAACATATTGTTTATAATTCTCTAGTACTGTCTTGACCTAAGCAATGCAACCTTTAGTGGTAAAGAGATACGTCCAACAAAAATAAAATAAAATAAATTTCTAACACTTTATACAAGACGATGACTTGATTATTTTATTGATTTGATCATATGATAGACAAATCAATTTGCCCCAAATCAATTCGATATAGAATATAAACAAATGTAGATAGATATAGATTGATAGACAGGGAAATAAATGTGTAAAATTGAGACGAGGGACGGATTATTAGCTTTAGATAAATTTTTACTTTTCAGTCAAAGAAAGGGAAAGTATCAATTCGACCTTTTGTGATATTACACTTGGAAACGAAGATATGAGCATATAGAATATCTAAAATGTTCTATGAAGGTTTAGTTCTCATCCATCGATTCGATTATTCGGTTTTGTGTTTGCATTTTCTAGCCATAGATGTGACATAACTCGGATTCTCTATTTGAGATATTTATTCAAATGTTCTTTTTATTATATTACCCATGTGATGTGTCGCTGTGTCTGGAAAATTCCGTGAAACCAAGTGAGAGACTCGAAGCCGATTGATGGAACATTTTGTATGACGAACATTCAAATTGAAGGAGACTTAACAGTGAACATTCCAATTCAAAATAAATAAACAATACGAATTTATTTTTTAGGATTGGGTTGGGGGATTTGAGTTAAAAGTTTGTACTAAATTAATCCTAAACAAATTCATTTTTTTTTAAAAAAAAAACTCAAAACAAACTCCTGATAATAGATTTTTTTTCGCAAACCACGGCTACTCCGAAAAGTGGCTTGAATATGGATTTCTAATTAATCGATTTTTTTAGAACAGTCCTACTGGAGCAATAAAAAATCTCATGATCAAGTGATTTAAATACTACTTAGTTGGACCAAAATAAACAAAAAATAAACTCAGAGATACCTGAAGGTCCATTATGCGATCTTCAACTGTATCTTTTACTGCAAAAAGAACCACTATTACCGGTCGTGTCTGTCCTGATCGATGTGCTCTATCGATTGCCTGATCCTCAGTTGTCGTGTTCCACCATGTTTAGTCCTAGACTAGCAGTCTCAATGTACTTCGGAGGTAAAGAGATTATGGTTTTCCCGTCAAGAAATGAACCTAACGTGTTAACCAAGTCAAAAACCTGATGATCATTCAAAGCAAATTTTAAGCTTCAATATCAGTAGTAGACTGACCTTTAGTTCGGCGAAGCATAACATCTTTAAGGATAGCTTGCAGCTCCTGATCATATCCGTCCATCGGATTATAACCTAAAAGGTTCTTAATTGTAAAGAAAGTTAGGTAGGAATCATAAGGAACATATTTGAGGAACCACTCTAGAGGTCGTCGATCGAGTTCTGTATTGAAGTGCAATGCAAACACCACCTACGTTTATTATGGAGTCCCCAAGACGCTCTTGCAACTTGGGTTTTATGATTCTTGATTCTAGAACAACTCTAGCATAGAATGTTTTTAAATTTTGAGAATTTTACACATACCTGATGTCTCATAAGCGGGACTGACAAAACACCATCAGGAAACTTTGCTTCAGCTTTAGGCTGAGACAGATCCTGTCAAGAAGTCAGACAATGTCATTAAGACATAATGAGTCTCAACTAAAACCAAGAATATAGAACAGTCATCAATTGTAATTTGAAATGATGCCCTTTTTGGGAAGATGAATGAAGAAGAAAATTAAAAAAAAAAAAGAATATAGAACTATCATCAATTGCAGTATATATCCGAATACTACCCAAAAAACTTTACTCCCTTAAAAGGGATTAACATCCACTAACCTGCAATGCAGCTTGAAACATCATAAATTCTTTGTTCAATGCCACTCTAGAAAACCTATTTTCGAAACGTGATCCGCAAGACAGTGTGTTAAACATGACAATGTCAGGCTGAAAACCAAGCTTTATGATATTGGCAAGTGTAGACAAAGCAAAGGGAAACTCACGACAGAAGCAGAAACAATTTATCAGAATATTCATGGTGTAGATACTGTTACATGGAATCCCTAGCGTTTCCATCTTCTGGTGGAGAGATCACAACATCGTGCTGTTTCATTCTCGCGATGACGCTCATTAGTTTAGAGATACCAATCAAGGCAGGTAAGTGACGAGATACAACCATTTGGTCGAACAAACCAATCGCATAATCTAAGCTTATGATATAATGAAACCCACTTCTCAGTTTTAGGTCCTCTCCTTCAAAAGAAGATAGACGACTCTTTCGAAACGTACCTGTATTAGCAACAGTACGATGAATCAGTCTCAAACAGATCAATCTAGGAGACGAAGCTGTAACAGTAGATTTCAGTCTCCAAACCTAGCCAACATTTTATGTTTCCCCTGATTTTGTTTCTTCTCCATTACTCTAATGGAGTTAACTAGTGGTCAAGTGTCGCTTTGTATTCCCGGTTCAGTTTGATTGATGCTTTGACCGGTTATGTTATAAACAATCGTAGAGAATTATGGGACTTGTGATCTGTTGTGTGATGCTAACAATGTTAAAATGTTGCTCTTTGGATTGAGTTCAATATAAAATGTTGCTACTCGATAAAAAAATAACAATTAGCTTTCATATTACATATACAATGTAAATTGAAAACTGAATTACAAAATGCTAACTTCGATTAATACTTTTGCAAATTAGCCATTACGGTACGTCCTGTTTAGAGTGCTTAACCATATTTTAATCGAAATCAAACTTCTACTGAGCAGCTGAAAGAGAAATATCCATAACTATTTGTGAAAACTTTTTTTTTTTTTGCCAACATTCGTGAAAGCTACGTATAAGCAACAATTTACTATACGAGGACAGAGAAGATCTTAGAGAAGTAAGATATAAATCGGCGGACCAATCAAATTTGTGATCTTACAATGAGTAATTCAAAAGCAAAAGGCTTTCTATCGTCGTCTTTCCTCCATTCACTGCAAATACCTAAAACGTCTATAAATGGAATCATTAATCAATCGGATCAGCTTTTCCTATTTTCATATCCCAAACCTGTAGTCAGTTAAAATACGAGTTTCTTCCTCCATAAAACTGCACAAAAACCAAAGAAAATCCTATCATATGTACCCACCAGCACGCACTGGTCAAAAAAAGAGCTCGAAGCTCGATCACTCTCATTAATCCGCCATAAACAGATAGTTCAAGTCCTCCACGGTGAGGTGAGACTGTCGGCTTCCCTTTTCATCTTCACCAAATGCAGAGGCTACCATCATTCTCTTCTTTTGCTGCATTTGACAAAACGTGTTCAGAGATCAAATGTGAGGAATGGCTTGAAGCTTATAGAGAACTGAAAGAGAACCAATCCACATACCTGAAGGGCTAATATCCGATCTTCGACTGTATCTTTTACCGTGAACCGAACCACTGTTACTGGCCGTGTCTGTCCTATGCGATGTGCTCTATCGATAGCCTGATCCTCGGTTGTTGGGTTCCACCACAAGTCCAGCATTAGAACATGACAAGCTGCCACCATGTTTAGTCCTAGACTAGCAGCCTTCAGAGACATAATCATTACAGAAACCTAACAAGTAACAAACAAACAAACAAAAAAAGTGAACAAATATATCATGATGTCTTGGCATATCTAAAAAACCAGCGAGCCAACCCAAGTCTTCAAGATTCCACTAAATGGCTACATACCTCGGGGAGAGTATTGAAATCCTGCACTGCTTTATCTCTAGCAGCAACTGACATTGTTCCATCGAGCCTTCTATACTGAATATGCGAACTTATAAGAGAAGCTTCAAGTAGATCCAGCATCTTTGTCCATTGGGAAAACACAATAGCTTTTTCTCCAACTACCTTAACTGGACCATCAACACCACTACCCTCATTCTTAACTGGTTTGATAGAGTCCTCTCCATTTTGAGAGATCTGATTCATATCTGTCAAATCCTGCGGTCTGGCAAGTGATTGTAAGATCTCTAAAGCAGCCTTAATTTTAGATGACTCGTATGCAAGACCTTCAGAACAAGGGTCAACAGTCTCAACTTTAACTGAACTGGCACCATCATGCATGGAAGGCATAGCAGTAAGTCTGACATTGCAGTTTGCAAAGGGGCACCGATTATTATCGCCCGTAAGGCATTCATAAAAGCACTGCTTACAGAAAACGTGACCACAGACTGACACAACAGCATCTTCAGGTGCATCCTGCAGGTAAAGTAGGGTGATAGATTCAGAACTACTTGTCAAGAAATGGTTTGGCAACATATGATGACAATAGAATAACAAATCAAAATTTTAATTACAAATCTTGATTTTCGTCAATCATGTTTCAAGGCTTCACTTTCACATTCATCAGGAAATACAAAAGAGAAAACTGGTACTTTACGAGACAAGAATCTTACATTGCAGGTACCACAAATTGCCAACGAAGCTTCTGAGAAATTTTGCTTCTTAGCTAATTCGAGCGAGGATTCCCAGGTAAAACTGTATTCACCTTTCACGAGAAGAGGGTGATCGCAAGCTTGGCGAAGGCGCAAGAGCATCAACAGAATATTTACATAATTTTGCTTTACTGTTCCAGCTTCTTTATACTCCTGATAAAAATTAAAGAAAACTTTAAACATCGATATGCATACATACATTGTCAAGGGCATAACTACACAAATTTGTTCATCGTATATAGCCAAATTTTATAAACAAACAAATATGTCATTCACGTAAAGCCATACCTGGAACTGACTACGAGATTCACGCTCTAAGTTGGAGTAGAAATCACGTTCCTCCTCGGTGAAATCCACTTTTCTCAACTCAATGGATTTCGGAGGTAAAGAGATTATGGGTTTACCGTCAAGAAGTGAACCTAATTTGTTAACCATGTCAAAAAAGTCATAAAGACAAAATTAGATGAGCATACAAAGCAAATTAAGCTTCTATATCAGTAGCTGACCTTTAGTTCGGCGAAGCATCACTGTTTTAAGGATAGCCTGCAGCTTCTGATATCCTTTCACCGGGGTCCTAGCTATAGGGTTCTTAATTGTGTTACAGAACAATACGTAGGAAGAATAAGGATCATATTTGAGGAACCGAAAGTAGCTGTAGAGGTCCTCGATCGAATTCTGGATTGGAGTACCAGACAAGCACCACCGTCGTTTAGCACGAAGGCCCCAGCATGCTCTTGCAACTTGGGTTTTGTAATTTTTAATGCTCTGTGCCTCATCTAGAACAACTCTGAACCATGAAACTTTCGCAAGTGGGCCTGACTGAGCCTCAACCGATGCGCGATCAACCTGTTTCTTCTTCTTTGAGCCTTTCTTTTGAGAATCGGGAGGATATTTCCGCTTCTTGTTTGAACAAAATCCAGCCGCTGTAACTCCACCATCATGTACATCAACCTTCTCTTCGTCCTCATCATCAACAAGAGGCTGCTTTCGGCACTTCCATGCTCACGATAGAATATGTAGTAACAACAACATCATATTTAGCCAACTCCTGAGGATCCTTTGTTCTGCTGGACCCATGGTATACAAGTACAGAGAGATTCGCTTCACTAGTCACCTTCTTACGAAGTTCATCAGCCCACTGTCGCAGAACACTAGTGGGACAGACAACAAGCGTTCCAGCAGCTGGCCTTCCCCTCATCTTACCCAAACTAGTTCCATCAGTTTTGTCTTCATTGAAAAGCAACTGAGAGTGATCAAATTCCTCGCTCATTCCATTGGAATTTAAAGACGCACATTCTCCACCCTCGCTTTCTAAGTCAAAAAATTCTTTCTTGATACTCTCTTCACATGCTCGGGAAGGTGTAGACCGTTCCTTCAGTATAAGTGCTATAGTGGAAATTGTCTTGCCAAGACCCTGCAAAAAATAATTATAACCAGAAAATCAAAAAAAAAAAAAGAGGAAATTTGACAAAAATTTAACCTGATTGTTTATTAAACTATTGAGATGAGAAAGATTTATAACAGAAGGCAATAACCTGATCATCAGCAAGAATTCCTCCCGAACAGGGGAAGCCACTTGTCTCCTTCTGTGCCATCCATGATAATGCAATTCGCTGTCCATGAGTAAGAAAGAGTCAAGTCAAAAGAACAAATAATATATCTATTAACACTAACCAAAAGGTCCCAAACAAACAACTATCACGTTGGAAAATCATATCAACTGAATAGAATTCCATTTCTCATTTCGGGGCCAAATCATCTCAGTAAAGCATACAATACATCCATAAAGTACACCAGGCGTTTAATTTTTACAGCTTATGTTTAGACATCTACAGGGAATAATTTAAGTTTAATAATTTCATTCCTACCTGATGTCTCATAAGCGGGACTGCCAAGACACCATCAGGAGGACTTGCTTCAGCATTAGGCAGAGAAAGATCCTGTCAAGTCATACAATGTCATTAGACCTAATGAGTCTGAAGTAAAACCAAGAGTAAACGTTAATACGGAACTGTTATTAATTGCAGTATATATCACTCATGACATATCCAATAACAGGAGACCAACAGGAACCTTAGTACATAATAGCCCCATACAACACTGTCAACTAAATCATGTACAGCTTTGCAGAACAGATTTTTCGATACTAATGAGTTGGACTGTTAGTGCCTGTGAGAGAGTACGACAGAATCAACAAGGTATACAATGGCAATCGGGCAGAACGCTACTCCCTTACAAAGATAATGCTAAAAGCTGCTAACCTGCAATGCAGCTTGAAATATCATATTTTCTTTGTTTGACTGAAGCTTCAGGCCTCCAGAATGATTAAAAGAATGACCCACTGTAGAATATTCTGAAGAAACCACCGGCATTTTCATAGCAAGAGGCCGATGTGAGTTTGCAGACTGATTAAATGTATGACCAAGAGTAGAATATTCTGAAGAAACCACCGGCTTTTTCATAGCTAGAGGTCGATGTGGGTTAGCAAATTGACCATTAGTTTCTATTATGTAGATGTCAGAATCATCGTCACTATCCGATATACATTCTGAAGAAAGACTTTGAACTGATTCAAAGCTGCCGTTTGAGAAATTAGATTCAATGCTCCTTGGTTGAACATGTTCTTGGTCTCCTTGTTGTGTTAGAGAGTCCAAATACTCATTGATTTGTGTCGCTGGGCTGGGATCTGCTGCAACATATTGCAAACATGCTTTTGAATCATAAAATTTATTTGAGTTGCCATTGTCTTGACTAGGGAAACCAGCTTGCGGTGCCATAAATGAGAATCCTTTTTCAACATCTGCCTGATAGGAGACTGAACAGCTAGATGTACCAGACCACCAATGATTGGTTTCCCCAGGTGCATAAACAGCGTCCATAACAATGTCTTCCTCTGGAACTGAACTGTAAACCACTTTCTCTGACTCAACCTCTGGCTTAACCTTCACACGGATAGCTTCGTTATCCTGAAAACTGCTTGAACAATTATCAGGCCGGTCAAGGGCATTATCAGCTAATCGATTGTCAAAACTATTGTACGGTTTGGCACAGGCAGGAGAAACTGATGGATAACTTTCACGCTTGAAACTGATCCCTCTTGCGCTGGAGAAATCAACATCAGTTTTCCTTTCTAGAGATCCATTATCTAATCTCCCGTGTCTATCAAAAATCATCCGAGTAGCACCATCCGACTGACACTCACTCACTCCACTGTCAACATCATTTACAGCTTCTTCTTTACTGGGAAAGAACTGAAAAGCGAAATCCTGATGTTCTGATAAGGATGCACCACTTGTATTATCGCAATTTTGTGCAGAAGAGAGACAGTTATCCACACCATCACTGAGAGAATTGGAATTATGACAAAAACCAGACATGACAGAGGAATTATGAATGGCTCCCAGCCCCGTTCCATATCCATGAACTTCGTCGAAATATGTTGCGGGGCTGCACGATGTAACTGCAATATGATGTAACATCAATGAGGAATACGGAAATTAACAACAGATAGATGGGTAGTGTGGAAATTTACAAAAAATAACCTGAAATTTTAGTAGATAAGGTGCATACATTTGGAATCGATTATCTTGTCAGCCTGCTTAGATACAGTCTCAGCGTCACTATTCACGGGATTGAAGGCCACATTTCCACCATGATCAGAGAAAGAAGTATTGTATCTGTCGACGGAACTAGACGATATACTACAACTAGTCATCTCAGATTGAGCTACTCCACATGTTTCGACAGGCTGCTCTTCCTGGCTTAACGAAAACCAATCTTTAAGACTTGCAGAGCAAGTATGAGCTGGTGAAGGGCTCAGAGCAGGGTCCACTTTCACGTGCTCATCGAATGAACCAGACACCCCAGTCCCAAGGTGCGAAGCTCTTAAGCTATATGAATCCCGAGAAGGAAACCAATCAACCATCTGAGATCCTAAATACATAACCAAAATGCAAGTGACGTTAGAGCAATATTACCTCGAACAGCTCAAGAGCTATTACTGAGCATAAAGGTAGCTCTGGGTCATTACCCAGACAGGTTATTATGTGTCTGTCTATGTAACAGCAAACAAAAAATGTACCCTTCACAACTACTAACCATTTTGCAGCTGTGGATTCTTGAGCTCACCAGCAGAAGAACCAACTGGAGATGAATTTTCTTGGCTACCCTAGAAGTAGTCACTCACAAGTTTAGTTTCAATTGCACAAGAAAAAACAAAAACAATCTTTTAATCCACAAATTAGTCATTCGAGTAGTTAACGATACAAAAAGAATTGACAAAACGCACATACACTAAGTTAAGCAGCATTCAAATCAAATTGCAAAAAGAACACGGCTTCAATTACAACGCAGCTAAATCATAATCCTGATTTCGAAAATTCTCTCAAGCTCCCTTCAAAATGAATTCCATAAGCAAAATTACCTCGGCAGAATCCGGCTTCTCATCTAAAATCCGGATAATAGTTTCGATGTCAATAGTGAGATCATCGTCGTCGTCTTCAAAACCAAAACCATCATCACAATCATCAGGTTGAAATCCATCGCCAAGGCCAAACACTGAACCCTCCTCACCCATCACGAACAAAAAACCCTAACCCGGAGAGAGAAGCAGAACGAAAAGGGGGAAAAACAAACCCTAAATCGGAGAACCCAGAACGTAAAAATCAACAGCCACGCGCAATTATACTCCCGAAAACCAATCAATCAACCAATATACCAATCGCAAAAACACGGTAGCGTAGATCCAGGGATTTGCGATTTTGGGGGATAATTCAAGATGGAGAAGGCTTGTGAATTGGGTTTTTGAAGGGCACGGGAATTTTCCAGGAAAGGTAGAGAGCAGTTGGGTCGTGAAAACGCGACTTTTCTCGCGACGGTGGTCTCTTTTTTTTTTAATTTTGGCTTTCTCCGAATTGGAAAAGGTAAAGAGGAGGAGTCTTCTTCGACTTAAATAAGGAACGGTCGAACAAAATCTTTTCATTTTCCTCATTTTGTTTTTTCATTTTGCTTTTTTCTTTCGGTCTTCACTTTGTTTTTTATTTTTTATAGAGATAGTGCATGGTTAATATGCGCCGTCATCGTTGTCGTTTTGAGTTCTTTTTTCCTGAACACTATTTATAAAACAAATCACAATTAAAAAAAAAAGTGACGTCAAAAAGAAGGAAAAACGAACAGTGTTAACTGTTAAGTTGTGGAGATTTACATTAATTGTTTTATGATCATAATCTGGCCTCACAATCCAAGATAATTTATGGTGCGAAATAATACATAATATTTTCTCTAAAAAAAGAAATAATACATAATACAACGGAAAGTGTGCGTCATGATTTAAAAAATAGGGGCATTTGACCCCAACGAAATTTTAAAAATTGGTATATTTTAGTAAACTCTATGTTAATGTCCCCACTTATAAATCTGTGTATATCCCTATTTGCCTCCAATAAATAAAATTTTTGCTTCCGCTACTGCGTATACTGTTGTTTTTGTTTTCGGAATATTATTACCTTGGTCATGTGTCACAATATTAGACATTCAAGTGATTGATATAGGTAGCCAACCATTCGACAAAATCTCTTTTTATTTATTTAAGAAAAAAACCAAAAACTTAAAACAAAGACCAATTCTATTCAACAATTCAAGCTTATAGGTTTTATAAACCAGTCTTTACTCTCTAAGACACGAAACCTTGTAAATTAACAATAGAGAGAGAAGCAAGTAAGCGGAAAAAACATCGAACTTTAACAGAAAAATCTAAATATCTCCAATCACATTACCAAACAGTTGTTTTACGGTTCAGTCAAAACCTGGTTTACACGTTTACTTAATACCGTGTAAACCGAACTCCATCCTTCTTGGCTAGGGTGAACATCATCTTAAAAGAAAGCAGACCTAGGATCATCACATAAGGTATACTTCTTCTGTTCTTCACACGTTTCTTATCCACATTCGCATATTCACCTTCGCAACACGTTTTAAGTGGGTTTTCAAACTTTGTAGTCCCTATAATTAAGAAGAAAATAATCACACAAAATCCTACAAACATAAAAATGAATGGGGTTTAATTTAAGGATCAAATGTGAAACTTTCATTTGTTACCAAGATTAGCTCTTTTGTTCATGAAAACGCTCGAGAAGGCGTTGTAGTAATCAAGAAACACGAAACTTAATTGCTCGGTCTCATTATTGAGCTTGGACACTACTTGGTGCAACAACTTGTTGTGTAGGTTCACCAAAGCGTTTTTTTGACTCATTGCAATGACTGAATGAAGATACGACTGTGACACGTGGAAGACATCCAAGTGGTTGAAGCGATGTTATTTCTATCTTTTTTACAAGGCATGGATCCGCCGCAAATTCACCTCTGTTTGATCCACGAATTTCTTTATAAATACAGGAAGTTCCTGAAAAAATCATACCGTATTGTAACTCTTTCACTCCCGTGGAATCTTTCCATTCGTATGGAGTCGGTGACTTTATAGCCATCATTTGTGCTGCACCATAAACACAATAGTTTTAACTTTTAGGTTCAGTATAGATGATAAAACCTTTTATATATATATATATATATCTTGATGAATTTGAGAAGGAAAATTTTCTTAAGACGCAGTGCCGTCTAGTCAATCAGAGGCCCTAATCTATTGTAAAAAAAATGTAACATATTTCTTCAACAAAAAAGAAAAAAAATCCTAATGAAAAATTATATTAAAAAAAATATGGGCCCTATCCCATTGCTTACTTTATCTATAATATGTGCTGGGTCCATGCTTATTACATTAAGTTATTTTTTTCAAACTATTTACAAGAAAATATTAATATTTTTTTATGATTCATGGTAAATTTTAGATCCGTACTAATTCTTGGGGGAGCTGCAACCCATGGATAGACTCTCTCTCCCAGTATTCAAATGGGTCATAAGCAAGAGTCCATATCCATGTAGGTGTCCAAGAATAATGTATTGGAATTTCATAAAACAGGTGGATTGAACTTGAAACGTGTTAGCGTCCCAAACTCGTCTCCTTACCATTTGACTACAAGACATTGGACAAGAAGATACTAATCCTTGCACTCTTTAATACGTTACATAATGTTTTTTGTTAAAACTACAAGACTAAAGGCCGGTCTAGACTGATAAGTTGGACCAGAAGTCTCTGAACATGTGTAAATGCCTAATTAGCTTTATAGCTTTGAGTCGGTCTATGAAGAAAATGTATTAACCTAGCTTGGACTTAACTGACCTCGACAAGACAAAAGTTTAAAGGGTGTAGAGAGGAAGAAACATACCTAAAAAAACTGTGGCGACACGACAATCCGAGAAACGGCTGGACGGTTTGTCGGAGAAAGTGATACCATAAGGGAATTAATTTTCTGGACACATTGTCAGACTTTCTTATATTTCCAGTATCAACGTAATTAGAAACTCTGAACACAAAAAAGTTTCATTGGTCTGATTTTTTTTTTTTTTGAAAATATGTTAAATTAGATTAAAAAAAAACTGTTTTCTTTACATATGAGTTCCTAGAGGAAATAATATGAAAGAAATATGATTACAACCAATAAACAGAGCATGATAGTGTTGATACTCCTTTCCCAAATAAGTGCGTCATCGCCCTCGGCTGGCAAGCCAGGTGATTATTCCATCACTGTAACGTGAGTCCCCGGCCAGTCGTAGTGAACTCAGACGGTTGTGAATCGTCTTGTCCAGCCTCACAACGATCGTGTTAGCAGTTGTCGGAATATCTCCATGGCGACGAGCATTACGCTCTCTCCATATCGACGTCAAGATGGCTTGAAAAGCATACCGTGCAAGAAACAGTTCCAGCTTACTTAAAGTGTTTGCCGTTAATAACGTAGCTATTTCATCCCATCGGTATGTGTAATGAACAAGCAGACCCCTTATTAAGCTTCTCCATATCTCATTTGAAAATACAAACTCAAAAAAGAGGTGTTCTCTGGTTTCGATAAGGGCAGAGCAAAAGACACAGGTCGTTGAGATACCTTGTCCCCACTGAGCCATGTATTCTCCTGTTGTCAATCTATTCCAAAACGCTAGCCAAGTTATGAAAGCGAATTTTTGGCATTGCATTTTGAAACCAAACCATGTAGCTCCATGCTTTCCTTGGAGCTGATTGTCGAATGTTTTGCCACGTGAATTTAGATGAGAAGCTTGCCTGGTCTGATTATATATGGATTCTTATATATGAAGCCTCAACTCCATTGATTTCTCCTGCCAACAAATAAAACAATAATTATGATAAAATATTAAAGAGATATTCATGGATTTTAAATACTACATTGTGTTTGAGACTTGTATATTACCAATCATGAGAGAAGAGAACAAGAAGAGGGCGAGGAAAATGAGAAGTTTCATCAGAGAATGTTGTTGCAACTTGCAAGATTCAGAGAGCAAAGGCTTTTTTTTTCTTTTGATAACCGTGGGCATCCTAAAGACTGTCTAGGCCCAAAGACTAATCCCACAAAGCCTTATATCCAGGTACTCGTTAGAAAATATTCCAAATTTAAAGTGCGGCTAGATGACCAAGAGGACTCAAACCCATGAATCTCTCACTTGGAAGTTACCAATGGGCCAAGGCAACTTGGTTCAATTATACTATTAAAAAAGGCTTCTCTATTAACATATAATATCAAATCAGTTAAGTTATTTATATTTTAAATAAATTAAATTAATGTTAGTAAAATATTTTATAGATACTTCACATAGCACATGACACGAAAAACTATTTTTTATAATTAAAAAATATTTAACTAAAATTAGACATTTAATATTTATATCAATTATTTTCTGATTTTTATACTTTTGTAAAAATTATTGTAGTTTAACCATTTAAAAAAAATATTTAATACAAAAACAACTTTTTTGCGAAAATATTTACTAACATATTTTATGAAATACACATATTTGTAAGGTGTAATATACTAATTTTTCTAAACCTTGTTATACATACGAATTATGCTGTGTTAATTACTAATTTTATTTAGGCGCATTTATTTTGTTGTTATGATTTGTGTGTTAAGAATTTCAAATCAAATTACTCGTTCATATTATCCACTAATTATCTCTATATTTAATTTCATATCTTACACATAAAAGTTTATTTATGTGAATAATTCATACAATATCTTACAAATAAATGTTTGTAAATGACTGCTTAAATAATAGTATAATATAAGAGCATGATTATCGAGGGTTTTTGGTGGGTCTCTTAGGATTATCTAGTAATTGTTTTAATCGGCTTAAAAAGTTGAATATACATCTCTTATTTGGGATCGATTAGAGACGGTCTCCAGGGATAGGTAGAAGGAGTTTATTGGCTTGTCAAAAATGGGGACAAAATTTGTTTCTCTGTCTTTCATCATTTTTTTTCTCCGACCAAAAATCATAGAGATTATAACATTGGAATCACAAAATAAATGAGTTTCTTATTTGGTCTCTAAACCCACTTTAATAATAAAAAATGGATAAAAAATCCATTTGGGCCTCTAGCAAATAGCAATGAACATAGTCTAAAAATATTAGAGATTACCAATTGATTTTAAGTTGGATGCCATGTAACTTAACATTATATAAGAAATACTGTAAATTTCAGAAAAAAATTGGAAAATTTATGGAGCATATATAGTTTGAACTTCATAACAATATATTCCGGTGTAGCCACAGGTCTCTAACCCTAATTAATTTTCAGAGTTTCTTGGCAGCAATGTCTGGAGAAACCGCCGCTGAGGCTAAGAAGAAATGCGTCTTTGGGACGTAGATGATTGTCCAATCCCTGAGGGTCTTGATCCTAACTCGATTTATAAGAATATCAAATCAGCTCTTGCGTAGGAGGGCTATGTTGGTAATTTGGAACTCAAGGCATATTGTGCGGAGAAAACGTTCGCCGATGGATATATGCTGGATGCTGGAATGACCTTGGTACACAAAGACACCAAACATCTCAGACAGAGGTTATTCAACATTTGTGAATGGGCACTGGACAATCCTGCAGGATCAAATCTGCTGCTAATCTCAAATATCACCCCTAGAGAGAAAAAAGTTGGTCACTATTGTTGGAAGTTTGGCTGAGAGAGGTTACAAAGTTCTCTTAGCAATGCCTGGTGAAGTCTTATTTAGGATGGCTGTTTTTTACTCCAAGCTCAGTATGGCTTTGGACAAGACTAATAAAAGGAGGAAACCCGACCGAACCAACTCCGAATTCTCTCAATCCGCAGCGTCAGCCCTTTAAACCTAATTTTCAGAATCTCTTCAAAACAAATCCTGGAGAAACCGCCAGCGTTTTGAAGACAGGGATTTTCTGGGATGTCGAAGAATGGCCATTCCTTTATGGTGTCCAATTTGTTACTGGTAATATCGAATCAGCTCTTGTGAGGCTGGGTTTTCATGGCAACACGTCATTTAGGTTTTACTATGATCTGTATCCATATTTCTCGAAAGAAGAATTGGAGAGGTATAAGGAGGAAGGCAGTATTGCCATCTTTTCCAAAATGAGAGGGGGTGTAATTTGCAGAGTTGAATGGAAGTTACTGCACATTTATTTATGGGAAATTGACAATCCTGTGTCCTGTATTAGAGAGGAGAAAGACAGATTGATGGTGGTCTCTGATAGAATCCCAAAAGAACCCGAGTTCACTCGTGTTCTTGAAACCTTGAAGTCGAGAGGTTATAATGTTGTCTTAGTATGTGATGCGAAAATCCCTTCATTTACTACTCTACACGGAAAATGGTTTTGGAAAAGCATATTTGGACGTTGCATAGAAATTTGTCATCATTGCGGAGGCAGGTTAGACTTAGAGAAACCATCTTCCTCGGTGGTTACTCCGCAGCCACTTCCATCTAGCCCTTATATTGTTCATATGTCTGAAGAAGCCGCCGTGTACTCAGCTTTTGGAGAGCTTATGGATTCTTCGACTGGGACAGGCGATATGACATGCGTCTTTTTGGATCTCGATGATTTCCCGATCCATGACGGTCTCAGTCCTATTATGTTTCGTACGAATATTCATTCAGCTCTTCGCAAGAAAGGGTTTTCTGTTGATTGACCGCTAATATTTATTTATTATGACAAGTTAAGGTGGCCGAAAGATATGGTGTGTAAATATCGTTACGATGTCCGAATCCATTTCTTTGAGCTTTGTGAGAATATACTTTATATCCATCTCTTAACATTTTTATGTCTCTAATCTTAACATCTCCGCTGATTCTGTATTTATATATGTAGGTGAGGATAAAATTGAAAATGCTGAATACTTGTTATTAGATATTTATTTCTGGTTAATGGACAATCTTATGTCCAGAAGCGGAGCAAAATATGATGATTCTCTCAAATATCATCACAGAAGAGTTCGTCAGTATTTTTTTTTTTTCTAAACTTTGAGTTTTAAATGTAGCAAGCTTCTTTAGTACATTATGACAAGTTGTCATATCGTATAGAAGTTGTGTCATTTTGTACTGAATCCGAAAAATGGGTTACGGAAAACATATTCGTTGGGGAAAGCTCAGTCAGTGAAAAAAGCTCAGCTGGTGGAGAAAGCTCAGCTGGTGGAGAAAGCCCAGCCGGTGGAGAAGAGCCCAATAATGATGTGGTTTGTCCTCATTGAGGAAAAGAGATTTGGAAGACGAAAAGTGAGAAAGTAGCTGATATATGGGGGCTTTGGTTTGTCACATGTAAACGATCCTTTTGTTTTGTGTCTGTCAAAAAACTCTTTGGTTTAAAAAAGAAAAAACAATATATTCCGGTTTACAAATAACCAATCCAAGAATCGGAGTCTAAAAACCGGATCGGTTCATCGCCAACATCGCTCTAACAAAACCCGATCTCTTTTCTATCGAAAACGGAAAATCGAAAGACTCGAAAACCTCTAATTTCTTTTAATCAGATTGTAGAATTATAGAAGAAATTTTCGCAGGCAATCTATAAGCAATCGATCCCCTAATATCCGTCTTATTAGCCAGAATCTTTCCCAGAAAATCTTCGCCAGATTTTTCCGTTTTTCTCCAGGTACTCTTTCTCGGAAAATTTCTATTCGATTTTCCAGGAAAATAGGCACAGGCGCACACTCTTTTCTTAGACGTTAGAACTACGGTTACTGTGCTGTTTTCGGATCGCTGCTCCAACTTTGATTAAAACCCTAAATTACTCTCGATTTTCGTTTGATAGCGAAGTGAATTTCTTAGTCAATTTCATTTGAATAGTGTTTTCATTTTCCGGTAATAAGTTGAATTGAGTTGATTCGATTCAAGATGAGAGCCACACTGGCGTTCTAATGTCACTGTTTCGGATACTCATTAATCAGCTTGAAGAAGAAGACGAAGAAATGGTAACAAATTCATTCTTTTCACCTTTTTTTATTTTTGCTCTGAGTCTGGTTTTTTGATCCAAAACTTGATGATGTGTTCTTGGAACAATTGAATTTCTTTGTACTCGATAGGCTACTTCTAAGAAAGTGATCACACGTGAAGGATGGGAGAAGAAACTTAATGCTGTAAAGCTTAGGAAAGAAGACATGAACACTTTGGTTATGAATTTTCTTGTCACCGAGGGATATGTAGAAGCTGCTGAGAAATTTCAAAGAGAGTCTGGAACTAAACGTATCCTTCTCTTGATTCCATTTGAATTTTGTTTCCTTAGATTCTTAGTGCTTTAGATTTTTGGCTGTCTACTTTTTTTTTGTTTTTTCCTTATCGAGAAACAGCAGAGATAGATCTTGCGACCATCACAGATCGAATGGCTGTTAAAAAGGCTGTTCAAAATGGCAATGTTGAAGATGCTATTGAAAAAGTGAATGATTTGAATCCTGAGGTACAATGCTTCTTCATATTCATATGTTCGATTCTTGTGTAAGCAATTACCATTTGAGAGATAAACTACTCTGGCAAAACTTTCCTAGATATTGATAATCAAAATCTGATTCGTCTTCCATGCTTGCAGATACTAGACACAAATCCGGAGCTGTTTTTTCATCTTCAACAGCAGAGGTTGATAGAACTTATTCGACAAGGGAGAACAGAAGAAGCCTTGGAGTTTGCTCAAGAGGAACTCGCGCCACGTGGAGAAGAAAACGTAAGTCTGTGTATATTGCTCATTGATTGTTTTTGAAGATGGCGTTTTACATGTGCAAATACCTGTTTTTTACTCTTCTTGCTGATGCTGAAACACCTTTCCTTGTTGATTTGTTCTGCAGCAAGCGTTTCTGGCAGAATTGGAAAAAACTGTAGCCCTGCTTGTTTTTGAAGATGCCTCTAACTGCCCGGTTAAAGAGCTTCTTGACATTTCCCACCGCCTTAAGACAGCAAGTGAAGTGAATGCAGCTATTCTTACAAGCCAGAGTCATGAAAAAGGTAACCAAAGCTAGAGTCGATGTTAACATTGGTTATGCTTTAGTAGCCACAAGTTCCGTTGATCTCTAGCATCTTTCATTTGCAGTCTAAAGGTTTAAAGTCTATATGAAAAGATGATTCTCTTATTAGAATATAACATTCATTTCTTCACTGGCCTCATGCATAATCCAAATATTCTAGTCAATGGTTAATGCACCTACTCAATTTTTGTGAACAAACAGATCCCAAACTTCCAAGCTTGTTGAAGATGCTGGTTTGGGCGCAAAATCAACTGGATGAGAAGGCAGTGTATCCGCACATAAATGATTTGTCTACTGGTAAGCTCGAAGACCCAGCAGAATAATTCCATACTTCTTTCAGCAATTGGAGAAAAGCTGCAAAAGGGAACAATAAATGGTGCCCTTCTCTTCCCTTCAATCTCAATAACTCAAGATTCATCATATGTTTTAGCAACAAATGCTTTCCGCCTTTCCCTTTTCTTCTGCATTGTTATTTGTTGGACCCGGAATTGTTTAGAATTATGTGGAGGGGGAACATAAAGCTGTTGCAGACAATGAATTACATTAGTCAAAATGTTCAGATTGTCAACATATTCCATGACTCATTGCATATGTTCATTTGATTTGAATAAAGTTATCGACCTTATTTGGATCTATATGGCCATATGGGTTTGTTTTGAGGAACTTGTGTTCAATACGGTTCGAATCTACAAACAGGGATGTGGCTTGTTCCTCACATGTATATATGAATCAATAAATCAACTTGGTAAAGTTCCTACTTGCATATATGAATCTTACGTTATTCTCTGTTTTCTCTAACTATTCTTCAATATTCTTTTTCTTCACTGTTCCCTCTAACTATTCTTCATTATTCTTCACTGTTCTTCACTGTTTTCTCTAACTATTCTTCATTATTCTTCACTGTTCTTCATTGTTGCATTATTGATTATTTCACGTGTCTGCTGCCTCTACCTAACAAGTGAGAATTTACACTCAGATTGCTCTGTGTGAACAATTTTTACAGTTCTACTCGAAAAAGGAGCTAATAACGCATTTAGTAGGTTAATACCATTAGACTAAAATAACCTTCGATTCACTAATCGTCATTTCTGATAGATTTAGAAGTGTTTTCTAACAAGAAAGTTGATCGAAAGAGAAGAGGGACCAAACAAAAGAAAAAGAGAAAGAACGAGGAAATGATCAAAGATCCTATAAAGACAACAAAAACTAAAGTGATGTTACAGTCGAAATTTAGAATCTCTGAGGATTTTCTCCTCCATTGTCGAAGTTCAACGAGTAGCTCAAAAGGATCATCTGATTTCTCTTCTTCTTGGCAAAGTATTTTTAGATGGTACAATATATAGATTATACAAAGGGGATTTGTAAGTGATCTTTCTTTGTATTGTATGACTTTGTTAGCGATCTTATATAAACCACCTTGTTTGATATTTTTAGAACTTTTTTACTACAACGATGAATATTGCTATGAATCGGAATTTAATTCTTTGAAACGTGATCATCTAACCACAAAACCACCACCAATGGATCCAATATTTTAAAACTTTAGATTTCCATGCAATATTTTAAAAATTTTGATTTGGTTTATGATTATGTTCTGGAATCCAAATAATTTTTTTTTAATGCAACTATGTTATTTTCAATTTTTTTAAAGTACAATTTTTCACTTCTTTAGTTGGAAATATTTCAAGAAAAGCTGTGCAATAAAGGGAAACATGTGTATCCCCAAAAAGCTACTATGAGTTTATTTAAAATTATATTCAAGCCCCAAAGCTTTCACATTCTCCCACCTAAGCCCCCACATTGCTCCCTCTTTCTCTTCTACTTCATCTCTCTCTCACACTCTCTCCATTCGCCATGGCTAAGCCAATGACGAAATACAGTGCACTCAACTAACCAAAACCCTTAAAGAAAAAACACAACAACAAGAGGAAAAAAACGTCATGAGAGGGCTAAAGAGCTTCAAAACGACGTCATTATATCAGAACCATCATCAATGGCCACCGGTGGGAGCTCCGACGAATCTCCGGCGAGGAGAGCCATGGAGATCTCAGTTCGACGACTCGGTCAATGCTGTTTCCTTCGGTTTCGTTGCAACCGCCATTCTCATCTCAATGTTCCTCGTCATGGCCATCTTCGAGAGACTGATTCGAACCACCACCACACACTCAGATTCTTCTCCGGGTCGGGTCCTTCCGGGTCTGGACTCTCGGGTCGGGTTCAATGACATTGCTTCTTCTAAGCTTGGTTACCAATCTCCCAAGGTTACTATTTTACTCCTTCATTCTCGCAGTTTTGTCTACTCTATGAGTGTTTGACGAATTTTGATGCAATTAGAGTTTTTTTCCTTGAAAGTTTGGATCTTTGTGTTGGATAATGCATATTTGGTATTAAAGTTCAATCCTTTTGATAAATTAGCCAAAAAAAATATTACTTTTTTCTTCTTATGTTATTGATTTTGTATGTGATAGAGATGTGATCAAGATAGTTCTTTAATTGATTTTGGATACTTGTTTTGTCCCAAAAGCAAAACAAGAAAACATCATAGGGTTTGTGTACTCATTGGTATAAACTGACCCACACACATGCTTTTGCATCATCACCATTACAAACTGTCTCAAAAGTTTTGTCACACACACACACGGATACTTATGGTGATGCATTCATTGAAATCATTCGTCATCATCTCTGTTTTTTTTTTCCATATTGACGAAATATTAGAGAAAAATAAATGTAACTGTTTATATTGGCATTGATTGGTTTGTAAGTATTTATGAGTGTGAAAGAAAAAGCGGATTCTATGCGTATGGAGATAAAAGATGTGGTCTCTACCAATTTGACTTTACATTTCCTAGGAACACAAAATGGCCCACTGGCTTTGTCCCTTTGTTTATTTGAGATCAGAGAGTGCCCTCTTCTTTTACATGTTCTTGGAAATAGTGTATAATTTCATAGAGATTGCTGATTCCATTTGTCTCTCATCTCTTTAGGTTTCAATGCACTAAGCTTTAGCTTAACTGAATAATGTGGTCAGGTTCGTTTCAGATTTGACAAGATTGGTTAAGGTCACAAAATTTGAATGAATCTAGATTGAACTTGCTTAAGATTTGGTTCTTGGAACGCCAAAAAATATGATACTTGAACTTGATCTGGAAATTGGGTTTTGTTGGGTTAAAAACAGTCATTTAGGTGAAATCTTGATCCTTTGTCTTATTATTTGTTGAAAATATATTTCTTTCTTCTATCTTTGGTTAGAAATAGTCATTTGGGCATTGAAGATTTATTGCCATGTTACATTTACACTAGGAAATACCATGTGATCGAAACTAGAATCATTCAAACATGAAAAATGTACGTCTCTAACTCCCCTTATAATTCAAGACAAGTGTGTGACTTTGTGCCAACATCAACTTGTGTTTTTAGGAACATAACACATTCCATTTGTCCAACACAGTTAGAAGTTTAGACACGTTCATGTCTTCTCAATGAAACTGTTTGGTAACAGTTTCTTATATTGGAAACTGATTTTTTCCCATGATTATATGGATTGGCAGATAGGTGTGTATTCAAAAGGGGTCTCGGTGTTGATGCCAGGAGACAAAATACCTACATTCATCGCTCACCCTGTACCCGGACCTGCACCTGCGCCCAGAGATTCCAACACTCAAAGTCCCAGCTCAAGCTCCATTCAAGAATGTTAACAATTCGAGTTTGTTATAATTCGCTGTTTTGTTTTTCCAAGATTATGTCAGCTTCATTGCTTAGATTTGAGGAGGTCGTTATGAGTATTTGCTGTATATATAATTATAGAAACCAAACTGCAAAAGCCATGGCTTTAGTATATATGTATTAAAAATATGCCCGGTTTTGTTTTTGTTGGGTTTCATGTTCTTGTTACAATGAAATGAGTTATAGAGAAGAATGTGTTTCACTGTCGGTGTGAAACTTTAGTGGTCATGAATGTGGGTGTTACTGTCGGCCTGCCCAATCTTTAAGCCCGAACCCAAATAAGCATTTAATTTCTTAAAGTATATAGTTGAGGTAACATGTTAGACATGTTCTCAAAAATTAAATTAGACTTAACTCAAAATGTACCAGTATCTAAAGGTAGGCCAAGTAGCCTAATGAATTGTGCTGTGTTTTAGTGATTTACACCTGCATATTGAAAAAACAAAATGGTTAATGGTAGAATCTAAAGGAATCGTTGATGTTGACGATGGTGATTTTAGTGGAATCTGGCGAATTATTAACTGGATGGTTGATCCCAAAAAAAAAAAAAAAACTAGATCTTAATCGTTAGATTCGTCTTATGTTATGATACTGTCTTAGATCTCTGACAAAACCTTTATCTCTCACCTTCATCATTATTGTCGTTTTAATTAAAACATGCTCTTATTAAAATGAGGTTCTCTAAAACTTCCAAACTGGTGTGTCATCTATTTGGATTTCATGAATTATCATATTGTTAGAGCATCTCCAATGTATGACTCCATATTTTTCTCTATTTTGGAATAACTCCAAAATGGAGTTGTATTTTACTCTAATGTAAGCTTCATTTTTATTCCAAAATGGAGTTATGACTAAAAAAATGGAGAAACTCTATTTTTTGCTCCATATATGGAGTAACTCCATTTTTTACTCCATTTTGGAGTGAGATTTGGAGTAGGGTTGGAGATAATCTTGCTCCAAACTTTATTTTGCAGTGAAATTTGCAGTAGGGTTGGAGATGGTCTTACAGTCTTATAGAACTGTAAAATTTTACTTAAGAGCTTACGTATCATCATCAATAACTAATACTGTCTGAAAGCTCGATGATGTATTTAAAAAAGTTAATGAAACTATCTTTGGAGTTGTTTCGTTGGATCTGTAACCATTTTATGCATGTGACTAGAAAAGTTGTAGATATCTTTTAGATCTTTAGACAATATTTCAAATGATGTAAACGTCTCTTAACGTAATAATAATCAAGATTCAAGAAATTGAAATTTGCATGGGGCTTATTCACTATTGAATTATTATAAATTAATTAAAGCCGCTTTAAGGGTAGTTGGTGATAATTTCTTTTACTCCATATATCAACTGTCCCAAAACTTAAACCAATAAATACTCTGTTTTCAAGTCTCTCACTTCATAATCATCCTCTTGCTGTCATCACACACATCTCCGGTCAAACGACGTCGTCTCTTTCTCTCTCTCTCTCTCTTTCTCTCTCACATGGGTTGCTGCCTCAGCTCCGGCACCGCCGATCGGAAAAATGAGAACGTTACCGACAAGAACAACACGACCATTGTCGAGGAAGAAACAGTCGTGAAAGAAGTGTTGTCGGAGACAACCTTGCTCACTACTTCCTCTAACATCCACAATCCGGCGATCGATGATCCGGTGAAAACGAAGAACCGAGAAACGGAGGAGAAAAAACTCAAACTTGCTCCGGACTCGGTTATGATCCGACCCGATTCGATTGACCCGGAAGAAGGATCGGAGGTTTCGGAGATTTGTAGCTTGAGCTTGAGCGAGAGTGTTTCTTCGACGGCTGTGATGAATGTGTACGACGAGGAAGAAGTGAAGCTGAAGCAGAGGAAATCTCAGAGATCTCCGGCTAAATCTCGGACCCGGGTCGCAGGTAATAATTACCCGACCCGAAGAACCGATCAATCTCCTCGTAAGAGAAATATCGGTACGTGTAATGGAGCGAGATTCGGGTCGGGCACGAGAGACCCGGGTGAGAGATCCGGAAGAAGGTCGAGATCGCCGGCGACGAATAGATCCATGATGGATTCGAATCAGAGTCGGGTGGGTGGGGCTAAGAGTAGAAAAAACAATCAGTCTCCGGCTCGGGTTAGGATAGATCCGAATAAGAACGGGTCGGATCAGCAACAGTATCAGAATTACGGTTATACCACTGAGGAGTTGTTAGAGAACCCGCTTGTTTCGTTAGAGTGTTTCATATTTCTCTGAAAAGAGAATATTCCGGGGAATAAGTTTTCTCTTTTTTTTTTTTGGGTGTGAAATTTCTCATTTGATTTTTTTTCAAGTAAATTTTCTCATTTTTACACTGGATTGTAATTCGTAAAGCTACTTACCTTACCTCTGTAATTCATTTGTGTAATACTTTTGTGCTGATCAAAAGTTGTAATTTGCTTGAATGATGTAATGGTCAAAAGATTATTTATGAAAATGTTTTTTTTTTTTGTTATATCCCTAAGAGAGTTTTATACCCAAAATAATTACCAGTAATTAATAAAAATAATTTATCTGAAATTAGTCGTTAGTAATGTTCGTTTAATATTTGAGAAAGGGAAGCACTATTATGTTCGAATCGGACCAGACGAGAAATTAAGTGATCACCGGTTTAACAATAATCATTTGAATTCAAATAATTCTTTCAGTTATTTGTGATCGTTGTTGAGGTCAGCAGTGAAAGTGGAAAAGTTTTCCTGTCGCAAGAAAGTGGGATCCCTTTTACACTCGTTTTAAATTTTGATTCTTTCAAGAGAAAAATAGTCATTATTCATTCAAAAGTTTGCTTTTCAACATATGAACGTTGCCTCTTTCATAAAACTTTCCCTAGTTTTTATGATTTTTTTTTTAAAGAGCATGATTTTAATCTAATGGCTTTGAATTTTACATTCCATAGTCTTTTTCAACAAGACACTAATCCTAATTAAATCGTTGTATTCGAACCAGTATTTTACGGTTCACATTACATGCACCAGCCTCAAGGCCCTCAACGGTCAATTATTCACCGGTCTTGAACATAGTTTCATAGTTTGTCTCCAAAATACTATTTGAATTAGCTATCGGGATCAATCTTGTGGAGTAGTTTGTGGCAAACTCAATCTTTTTCTTTTACGAATCCGTCTTCCTCACTTTTGTCAAGCATTTCTTTTACGAATTAGTGAACTCAAAATCTCTACACTCACTAAAACTCCATTAATGAGCAACTTAAAGAATTAAAACCCATACTTGTTCCAAGTAGCACATAAGAAATCCTCAACAGAGTGCTAAAAAAGAAACATGAATCCAAGTGAAATCATAAACAGGCAATGTCTAACTCGAAGGTATGTTCTTCTACTTCAGAGAGACTAACGAAGAAATAGAATGGGCACAACACAATAATCGTTTAGGATTTCAATGCAAAAAAAAAGACTCCACTTCGTAAGCTACTTTGGGCATAACAAACAATGCATTACATAATCATCTCCACTAATTGACCAATCCAAGTTTCTGTAACCTTAGACTTGGGTTTTCTTTTAATGAGATTTTATAGATTAGCTACGCTCCATTAGAGGAGGAATTGTTTACAAACAATAACAAAGCCAACATGGCTAACAAATTGACAGCTACAAGCGCCAAACGAAGAACATAAGAGCAGAAGATAGGACTTTAGTTGACTTGAAATAAGTTTAAGCAAAGTCTTCACACGTAAAATCTATGGTCGGATATTAGAATAGTCAAAGTCTTTCGTAAGCAATTTTTTTTTTTTTTCCTTTGGAAAATCTCCTAACCACCCGTATTGGAGAAAGATGTGTTATCTTATCTCCAATGATATTTTTGACATACTTCAGCTTCAGAAAATATTATTTTTTTATCACCATAGGGAATTATATATGCCTTCGTCACTTGTAAAATGCTTTTCACATAAAACACTTCTTCATCTTTAGCTTTCGTTTGTTGCTTACTCAAAGTTTTCTCTCTTTCTATCGACATGGGGAGTTGTAATCCTATCCAACTTACTGGTAATGATCTCAATCGTATCTTTAGATGCTTATGTGGTAAGGGTTATATTCGAAACCTCAAGGAGAATCTCAAGGCTCTGAAGAGGGAAATGGATGATCTCAAGGCAATTGAAGCTGAGGTGAAGAACAAAGTAGCGAGAGAGGAGGCACAACATCAACAAAGGCTTGAAGCTGTCAAGGTATGGCTAACACGTGTCGAGAGCATCGATACACGATTCAATAATCTGCTTAGTACTAGTCCTGTTGAGCTTAAGAAGTTATGTCTCTGTGGTTTATCTTCAAAAAGTGTATGTTCCAGCTACAAATATGGGAAAAAGGTATTCTTGTTGCTGAAAGAGGTTAAGAAACTCAAATCGGAGGGTAATTTTAAAGAGGTTACTGAGCCGGTTTTGAGATCTGCAGTAGAAGAAAGGCCTACTGGGCCTACGATTGGTCAGGAAACAATGCTGGAAAAGGCATGGAAGCGCCTTATGGAAGATGGAGTTGGAATCATGGGTTTGCACGGTATGGGTGGTGTAGGCAAGACTACCCTTTTCAAGAAAATCCACAATAAGTTCACTGAAATGGCTGGTAGATTTGATGTTGTGATCTGGGTCGTGGTGTCTCAAGGTGCAACTATTTCAAAGCTTCAAGATGATATTGCACAAAAGCTAAACCTTGGCGGAACGAACAAAAGTGAAGATGACAAGGCCGCTGATATAACAAGAGTTTTGAAGGGGAAGAGATTTGTCCTGATGTTAGATGATATATGGGAGAAATTGGATTTAGAAGCCATCGGAGTTCCATTTCCCACCAGAGAAAATGGATGCAAAGTAGCATTCACCACTCGTTCTCGGGAAGTATGTGGACGGATGGGAGATCATGAGCCAATGAAAGTCGACTGTTTGGGACAAGAAGAAGCATGGGAATTGTTCAAAAGCAAGGTAGGAGACAATACATTAAGTAGAGATCCTGCCATTGTCGAGCTTGCAAAAAAGGTCGCTGAAAAGTGTCGTGGTCTGCCACTAGCGCTTGTTGTCATTGGTGAGACAATGTCATATAAAACTACGGTGCAAGAATGGGAGCTTGCAGTAGATGTTTTGACCAGATCCGCTGCAGAGTTTTCCGACATGGAAAACAAAATTCTTCCGATTCTGAAGTTCAGCTACGATAGCTTGGTGGGTGAAAATATCAAGTCGTGTTTCCTCTATTGTGCTCTGTTTCCGGAAGATTTTCCTATAGATAAAGAAGAATTGATAGAGTACTGGATATGCGAGGGATTCATCAAGGAAGACCAATCTTATAAAAGGACAGTGAATAAGGGTTATGAGATACTTGGTACCCTTATCCGCTCAAATTTGCTGACAAATATCTCTGATATAAAAGAAAAGGTTGTGATGCATGACGTGATTCGCGAAATGGCTCTATGGATTGCATCCGATACTTTTTTCGTTCAAGCACTAGTCGGATTATACAAAATGCCAAAAGTCAATGATTGGGGAGCTGTGAGAAGGATGTCTTTGATGAAGAATCATATTGAAGAGATAACATGCGGTTCCAAGTGTTCTGAACTTACAACTCTGTTCCTCCACATTAATAATTTGAAGAATCTCTCAAGTGAATTCATCGGCTCTATGCAAAAGCTAGTTGTTTTGGATCTATCACGTAATCGCTATTTCAAAAAACTTCCTGAGGATATATCGAAGCTGGCCTCCTTGCAGTATCTTAACTTGTGGAACACAAGTATAGAGCAACTGCCAGTTGGTTTCCAAGAGTTGAAAAAGCTAATTTATCTGGATTTGACTGGTACAGAGAGTCTTCGTAGTATCAGTGGGATATCAAAGCTGTCGAGTTTAAGAGTTTTGAAACTAAAATATTCTAAAGTTCATGGAGATGTTAGCTTGTTGAAGGAGCTGCAGCTCTTGGAGCATCTACAAGTTCTAGAGATAACGATCTCTACCGAGTTGGGTTTGAAGCATATATTAGGTGATCAAAGGTTGGCTAACTGCATCAGTTGGCTGGATATTCAACGTTTTAAAGAAAAGCCATTCAAAATGTCATCGCTGTTGAGTATGGAGAATCTTAGTGTGCTCCATGTGTATGGTAGTCATGTGTCGGCGATTGATACATATATTAAATGCAGAGGAAGCAAGACCGACTCATCTCATTTACACAATCCAACAAGTCCATGCTTTACCAACCTCTCCGTCGTGTCAATGGTTAGCTGTCATGGCATTAAGGATCTGACTTGGCTATTGCTTTCTCCAAATCTGACTTTGCTAGAAATTTCACATTCAGGAGAACTAGAAGAAATCATAAACAAAGAGAAAGCAACCAATCTTACAGGTACTACACCATTTCAGAAACTAGTATACTTATCCCTGTTAAATTTGCCTGAGCTGGAGAGTATCTACTGGAGTCCTCTCCCCTTTCCATCATTGCAGCGCATAGAAGTAAGAAAGTGTCCAAAGCTGAGAAAGCTTCCCTTTGATGCTACAAGTGTCCCACGACTTGACCGGTTTGGAATATATATGGATCCTGAAGAACAGAAAACTGAGCTTGAATGGGAGGATGAAGATACCAAAAAACGTATCTTGCCTTTAATCCATTCGGTAATCATTTCTCTTATTCTCTTCCGCTTGAATAAATTAATTTATCTTACTGAGTTTCTTTCAAGTTTGCTCAAGGTTAGAATGAAGTGTGATCGTTTTTTTTTTTAGTCTGATATGATCCATTTGCATCATGATACCCAACAAAACACAAATTGGGTCACAAAATTAGAAAATTATCTGCAAAATCATCAGACCTGTGTTTGTTGGATATTTACGAGGGGTCATTAATTTCAAAAGTTTAGATACATACGTGCATTGAGCTCTTCAAATGACTAAATCACAAACAGTATTTTCTTTCTTCTTCGTTTCCTCTCACATTCGTAAATTAGTAAATTAATAGAAACTGATTAAAATTAGTAAATTAATGGTGAGGCAGAATTTGCTGGATATTCCTCGCAGTTTTAGATGAATTTCTGTATATTCACTAACTTTGTTTATTTTATTTCTTCTTAACAGGTTCTGTATGACTAACCATACCTTAAGCTGGATTGGGATTCCTCACAGTCAGAAACCAGAATCCACGCTTCTTCTTCTGCTTTTCTTTCTTCCTCAAAGTGTGATGTGTTGTTCATTGGATTGTATTATTGTTTTTTCCTATGCATTCTTATCTCTCTGCAGTGTGTTGTGTTGTTCAATTGGATTTTCTGTTTTCATTTTTCTATGTAATAAGTTAAGGCGGATTGCTTTTTTCTCAAGCTACATGTATTTATATAATCAACAGTTTTTATGCTTTTACGTGAAAGGATATATCATAAAAGCATGTGATGCCTCTGAATTTACTGTGTATTTTGATTCCTCACTATTCAAAATCAAATTCCTCTACCTGTAGCTTTTTCTATTTCATCTTGCAGTGTGTTTGTATTGTTAACCGGAGGAATCAAGATGAAAAGTTATATGATTTTGCTAAATCATGAAGATCCTGTTTTTCAGACTCTTTAATTTAAACCCCCTAAACCTAATCTGAAGATGCTATGACTTCCATCTAATCCCAAACTATATCTAGAGGCTTTCTGATTTGGGGGCAATAAGCTTAAGAGACAACTTCACTTAAGAAGACATGGAAAGAGTCTTTTTAATTTTAAGAGTTTTCACATTCCTTTTTTAATGGCTTCACCACATTAAGAACATTAAAACAAGAACCCAAGAACAAATCTTCAGCCAAAAAAAAAAAAAAAAAAATTCGCAAGCTTAATTGATATGCACAATTATTCACCGCCCACCGGTCTTGAACATTGGTTCGTCGTTTGAAATAGCTGCGTGTCCAGAAACTACAACAATCTTGTAGAGTAGTTTCTGGAAAAACTCAATCTTCTTTCTTTTACGAAATCGTCTTTCTCACTTTTGTCTAGCATTTCTCAGAATGATTCTTGCAGACGGCGACTATATATAAAGCAGCGAAGCTGATAAGAACCGATACCGGGCATCTAGTATTAAACTGAGTGTTGTCCATTTCCATATGACTCGATACAAGATATAAAAAAGAAAAAGAAAAAGAAAATTCAATGGACCAATGCGAACACAAATTGCAAATAGCCGTTTGCAATTTGTAACATTTGATTGCATCAATAGCCTGTAGGAAGCGGTTATAGCTTGGGCCTGATCTTGGCCTACTCCATTTAGAAAATTCAAAATTGTAAATTAAATATTCATTAGTCTTATACTGAAGAGTGAAGACAATACAATTTGAAGCTTAGGGCATGTCCATTAGTCATACTACTAATGGGGTTGTTAACATTAAAATAGTATTACTTTTGGCAGACGTGAACAGTGAAGATACTGAGGTTGATTTGGGCTTCCATTAGTGAACCCGAGATAAAGGTTGTTAGGAATAAAAAATTAATTTTTTTTTGCAAATTTAAAATTTTTTTTATGTAATTAAAACTTTCATATTAATAGAATCATTACAAAAAAAATAAAAACATAAACATAAATACTATAGATATTTAAAATACATAACATATTTATCTAAATATCAAAAGTACCAAATTTGGTCCAGATATGTTCCACTAAATCGGCTTTCAATCGAAGATGCATTGTCCTATCCCGAACTTCATTTCGGATTTGAATTCGATCGCTGATCACATTGTTCAGATTTGTAGACATATTTGTAGAATATGTCATATCCACATGTGAAGTTCTAGTTCCTTCAACTTGATCAAATTGTGTTGTATCTACTAAAGTGTGGGTACCTCGTTCGTCTTCCACAATCATATTGTGCAAAATGATTGACGCTCGCATAATCTTGCCAATTTTTTCTTTATCCCAGAAAAGAGCATGGTTTTTTACAATCGCAAACCGAGCTTGGAGAACTCCAAAAGCACGTTCGACGTCTTTGCGGACTGCCTCTTGACGTGTAGCAAATAACGTAGATTTAGGATCTTGAGGAAGTGAGATTGATTGGATGAAAGTTGCCCATTTAGGATAAATGCCATCCGTAAGGTAGTACGCCAAACGATATTCATTTCCGTTAACCCAGTAGTGCACTTTTGGAGCTCGACCTTGTAATATGTCATCAAAAACAGGTGAACGATCAAGTACATTAATATCGTTTAATGTACCTGGAGGCCCAAAGAACGCGTGCCAGATCCAAAGATCGTAGGATGCTACTGCCTCTAAGACGATTGTCGGTTTTCCAGCACCACGCGTATATTGTCCTTTCCAAGCGGTTGGACAATTCTTCCACTCCCAATGCATACAATCAATACTTCCAATCATCCCGGGAAATCCCCGTGATTGTCCTTCATCGAGGAGGCGTTGGAGATCGGCTGGAGTGGGTCTTCTCAAGTATTCATCACCAAACAAATTAATTATTCCTTCAGTGAAGTTTTCCAAACATAACAACGCAGTACTTGCACCTAGACGAAGATATTCGTCAAATGCGTCAGCCGCACAACCGTATGCCATCATACGGATAGCTACTGTACATTTTTGTAAACCGGAAAGACCAAATCTGCCAGCCGCATTTCTTCTTTGTTGAAAGTATGGAACTTCAGTAGATAGGCGATGAACAATGCGCAAGAACAAGTCCTTGTTCATTCTAAAACGGCGACGGAAAAGATGATGAGGATATGTTGCATCTTCAGCGAAATAATCATTCCACAGACGGTTGTGGCCTTGTTCGCGTTCCCTTTCAATGTACGCACGCTTCTTCTTCTGCTTTGCTCTTGTTTGACGGTCTAGAACTTCTTGGACAGCCTCGTCAAATTTTTGATCAAATATGCCATCAAACGCGTCTTCAAAATCATCATCATAATCGTTGTTTGAGGAAGATGCCATAGTTTGGTGTTTGTGTTTGCTATATATTGAAAAAAAATTTATGACAGAACGCAGTTTGTGGTTTGGTAGAAAGAGATTTTCAGTATGTGTTTTTGAGAATTTGGTGAAGAATGTGAAGAAGTAAAGACTGTATATAAATGAGAAGTATTTGAGTCACGGGTTTTACAACTTGCAAAGTGCACAAAAATACAATTACACTACATCCACAAAATGAAATCTCGTGAAATATAAAGTGCTAAATTCCAAAATACTTTCATGACAACCACAAGTTGATAATATTCTGGTCACACAACGACGTAAACTTCATAAAGTGACTCCACCTAGCCATCATTGAGGACCTGAAAAAGCAAAAATTAAAGAAAACTCAATACACCCATACCAAATATCATCATACAAACATACGAAATGGCAAATAACATCAAAGAGAACAAAATAATACAAACTAACGACTGACCAACATCGCATAACTGAGTTAAGGGTAAACTCCATGCATGCTCTAGGGTAAACTTCATCTCATAGTCGTTATAGAAGATGTCATGAGCAGCTTTCATGACATCGTTATCGTTTTGGCCACTGCTCTTCTCCTTCGTGGCGGCTTGATAACTCCCAACAAACTTGCAGACATGGTCATTGATACGTCCCCATCTCTGCTTGCAGGTGCTAACCTCTCTTCTGGGCTGACCAACTAGATCCGGACAGGAGTTGAACAAATCGACAATCCGTTTCCAGAAGGCTGTATTTTTCTGATCTGTACCAACCACCGGGTCCTTACTTGTATTCAACCAGGCACTGATCAAAACCAGGTCTTCCTTTGGCGTCCATTTCCTTCGCTCCGCCTGATTCCTGCCTCCTTGAGTTGGTTCCCCAAAAACTTGTGAACTGAAATGTGGGAGGTCGGCTGATCGAAGGTCGATAGTTGGTGCATTAACCTCATTAACTAGCTGGCTTGTTAAGAGGTTAACAAAACCTTCACCATTTTGGTAGGGGTTAGGGATATCCATAAGTGAGTGAGTTTCAGGTTGGGGTTTAGAAGTAGAAGGCGAAGTTGAAGTTTTGAAAGAAGAAGGATACGATTTGGAAGTTTAAGTCTTTGAAGTTTGAAAATATAGAAGAAGTTTAAGTTCAAGTCTTTGAAGTTTTAAAATATAGAAGAAGTTTAAGTTTAAGTCTTTACTACTTTTAAAATATTGAAGAAGTTTAGGTTTTAGTAATAACTATGGCATTGATATGATATGATAGAAAGCAAAAGGCTTAACACAAAGCATTTACTTTTTACAAACCAACCCTAAATTTACGATCATTAATATGAAAGACATTTACCTAATAAAGTCATCAAGAATTTATCACAATCCTAATGGACTACTAAAGCAAACGAAGAAGAGAGAAGACTGACCTTAACATAATGATGAACCTGAAGCTTTACTTGGTTCTTTCGATTGGTCCACCATTAACCTCACAAAAAGCATTAAAACTAACTTAATACATCAAACAAACACAACAATCAATACATCAACCAACTCATTAAATAGAGTACTTCATATCATAATAGCTTCATAGCTCCATAACATACCATTACAAGTTTTGAAGTCCTAGTACCGTAAATAAAGACAATCTAACAAGGTTGTCATAGTTAACTCCTCGTATGGAGTAAAATAAACCATTGTTAACCAGTCGAACATAGCTAAACCGAGGCTACACCTACTTAAAGAAGTACGAGATTACTGCAATAACAAAAATAAAAAACAAGGTGACAAACCCTTCACCTTGTTTCTGTTCCTTAAGTCTACCCACTTCTGCTTGGAGGACTCTGACCGCTGCGTTTATCTCCCCAATGGTTGGATCAAACGGACTCCGACCCATCCTTGTCAGCATCTCCTTATGCTCTCTTAGCGTCGAGTCCACAATGGAGAGCTGCTCGGTTACCGCCTCATCCCACCACTGCCAGCGGTGATGATGAATGCGGTGTCCCTTAATCAGAAACAAAAAACACATTAGTACATAAAAACCACACAGTATGTCCATTAAAAACAACACAATAGTACATAAAAACAACAAATTATGTCCATTACCTCTTCAAGCCAGTCCGGGCAGTATAGTACTTGCGGCCTGGTAAGTTTGGTCCTGCACCGGTCATTGACTCCAATATCATTCGTCGCCCACAAAAGCATTTCTCTGCGATGCCAAACGTCGCATCCGCATATGCCCAGCTAAGGTCCACTTCAGGTTCGGAAGAGGTGTCACTTGGGAGACTCGGCATTATCTGTCATAAACAGATATCAATGTAGTCAGACCATGTAATATAAACAACTAAACTAACCTTATCCATTTCAGACAGAACAGCCATATATACATTCATATCAAAACATATCTAAACCACAAAACTCAACAATCAATACTTAAACATCGATAGTCAATATTCATTCATCACATAACTCATAAACATTTGCAACGATAAACCAACATCACATAACTCGAAAAGAACAGTTATCAAGTGACTACAGCTGATTCAAGAGCAGGTAAAGTGATCAAAATTCGAGAACACAAACCGATATCAACCAACTTTATCCAAGTACAGGAATCGAACACATATTGCCATCATCGAACTTGTATCACTTCGAAGAACAACCGCACACACCACACTAACCCAAATTTCAATGGATCCTACCTTCAAAACCGATTTCCCCAAATCACAGAAACCCTAAAAGCAAACTACCACAAACCCATCAAATCGGATTCATTCTTTTGTATCAATTGCTACAACACACAGATTTCAAACCGAAAACGCCATTTTCAATCGATCCGAACATGAAATTTTAAAAATCCCCAAATCTACGAAACCCTAATTTACAAATTTCGACCGAACAATAAAAAAATCGAAGAGATAGAGTTCGGTCTTACCTTGAGCAGTCTTCCACCGTCGAATCCTAGCTGAAACTGACGTAAACGGGGCCGAAATCGATAACCACAGAGAAATCGCCGGTGGCTGCGAGAGAAACCCAGAAGAAAGAAAAAGTGATTGTTCGAAAAAATGACAAGTCGTGGAAGAGAAGGGCAGTTTTCGGAAAAACGCTTAAATTTTTTTAACCAATCCGCTGCAGCCACCTGTCTTAACATACGAGATGTTAAGTCTGCTAAATAGCAAACGGGTTGATAACAATTGGGCTTTTTTCTTATTTATTTTAAATGATTTGCCTATGATACTGGGCCTTTTTCTAGATATCATACTCCAATGGACCTGCTCTTAGCATAGTAACACCTTTAAAAAAAAACATTTTAGCAGACCTAAAACTTTTAAGACTATATTTTGGTTAATTCGTATGTTTGATTATTTATTTTTTTGAATCACTAAACCATATGTGAGCATAATAATTTTTAGTGAGATGACCTTTGATTCTATATCATGATATATGTTTCTAAGTTTTATAGGTTCTAACTTATGATTCCTAACATTTGTTTCAATAATGTGTTCAATTTGCTATACTTTGTTTTTTTTAACTAAAAATACAAATAAAACATATTCTAAGATTTGTTGATTTCAATATAAGAATTATGAGTGTATCTCTTATATAGTTCTATGAGGCCGATTTTTTGAACATTGGTTATAATTCCTAACTAAAAAAAATTGGCAATAAAATGGATTCTGGTATATATGAATTATGAGTGTATCTCTTATATAGTTCTTTAAGTCCATTTCCTTTAGATGATAACTATCTAGCACATCTTGAAGACTCAAACCAAAACATATTCTAAGATTTGCAGTATGCCATACACGAACTACAATATTTCTTATTCGGGCTATCCTACTTAAATCAACAAATTTGGATTATGCTATCACATTACGTTATGATATTCTTATTTAAAAGTAACTGGTAATTAGCATATTGATTAATTTCACTTATATATTACTACCGTAAGTCAACAAAATTTGGGTTCCGCTACCACAATATGTTTTATGGGTTCTGACTTAAAAGTAATTGGTGCAGATTGATCCGTTTCACTTATATATTACTTTAGGTTCTATCAAATTTTCAGTATAAGATTCCTAACATGTGTTTCAATAATGTGTTCAATTTGCTATACTTTGTTTTTTTCAACTACAGTAGAAATTGTTGTATGAATATTCAAATCTTAGTATTCTAATCTTAAAGTAAATCATCCAACCACTAAATACAATGAACATAATTGTAAGAGAAATACTAAAGCATCTAAAGATGAGAAGCACCATAGAAACTGACCGACCTAGAAAAACATGATATAAATGTCAGAAAAAAAAAAAGGTTTGATATTTGTTTAATCATAATGAGTTTCGTGTTCGGGTGTTTGTTAGCTCGGTCGTAGATTCTTCTTTCCTACATAATTTAGTCCAGTTTCAATTTTCGAAATATTGTGCAAAACATCTTTCATCCACAAAGTTTTGGTAAATATTTTTGAAAATTGATTTTAATATCTAAATCGTTTAAAGGTTCTAAATCATTTAAATGTTTCTATTGATTTTCTAGACACTATGTATAGGCTTCGATTCAAAATTCTCTATTTATCTATTTGATTCGAGTATTTAAGTGTTATATTTGTATAATATTACGTCTTATCAAACAAAACATTTACCCTATTTATATATAAGGTTGACAATAGAAACAAACAAACCCAAGAGATGATGAAGTGTTTCCTCACCTATCGAATAATATTTGACAACATAAAAAATGTTTAATTATGAAGGAGTTGGAGAAAAAATCAAAAAACTGTAACCAATAGAAGTCAATTAAAAGCAAGGGTATTTTCATAACTTCATATTCATTTCAATGCCTGGACAAAATGATATTTCCGTCAGAACTGAGAAGAACGAACAACGAAGAAATGAGGTCCACTGTCCAAGAAAAATGCTTAAAAATCTGAATTAAAAATTAAAAAAAGGACCGACCGAACTATAAATAAAAAAATAAAAAAATGTATAACTCTGAAGAAAAAAAATAAAATAAAAACTTCCTTCGGTTTACCATTTTTCTTCTTCTCTTCTGTTTCTTTTCTTCTTTCTGCTCCGTGTCACTATTTGAATCTCTGATTATCTCGTTTCCTTCAAAATTCTTGTTCCCGGAATTTGATTCTTTTCTCACGTTTTAGATTTGAATTCCCAACGGGAAGCAACCTCCTTCTTCTTCATGTTTCTCCCTTTGAATCTCCCGAAAATCTCGAGCTCTGTCGTGTAGTGACAATTGGGAATTTTTTTCAGCTCCGATTCACCGTTTTTAAGATCGATAACGGAAGCTAGAGATTCGATTCCGGATTCGGATTGCATTGATTCCCACGGATTTGCTGGGAATCGAGTAGAAAATGGCGAAGCGTGGATATAAGCTGCGTATCCTTTTATATTCCTGGCGATTTTGTTGATTCTTAAGCTGAGTAAAATTGAACGAACTCTGGATTTTTAGCTCCATCCTGAGATTTTTTTGTCGTTTTTTTTTTATATCACTGAATCGTTAGGGCTTTATCTTTAGAAACTCCCAAGAGCAAAGCTTAGTTTGCTATTGATTAGCATTTCAAGATTTCAAGATAAGCTTCAAGTTTTGATTAGCATTTCAAGATTTCAGCAGAAATTACCGGGTCAAATGTTTCTATCATTGGCTGCTCAATATGATAGAAAATGGATATTTTCTGGATATGTTTTGTATGTGAAAGTACTTCTATCCATTTATGACCTGCTTTATGTTTTGCTGTCGAGTTGCTTCAAAGGCTGCTCCTTTCTTTAGCTGTTCTTGTCTGGTGTTTGCTTATACCTTGACAAATTTGGAAACTTAGAGGAGTTTTGGCACATTCCGCAAATGTAAATTGCTTAAATATTGGAAAGAAGACATTACGGGTCCTTATTACTGGTGGTGATGATTACAAGGTCAACCTTTGGGCGATCGGCAAGCCTACTTCTTTAATGGTATGTTTCACATTTTCTCTCTTGTCTAAATTTTTCCTCGTTGAGCAAAAAGTGTGTTTTGTTTTTTATGCCTAGCTAGTTCCATCAAATGGGAACATATAGAGATACTGATATTTGAGCAGTGTACCACACCATATCTATCGTTTACTTTAGAATTATGAGGTCTAACATGTTCACTCTTGCTCTTGAAGTGTAGTGGTTCGAGCTTTTACTGGACATAGATCCAACTGTTCTGCTGTTGAATGTCATCCGTTTGGTGAATTTTTGGCATCATAGATCAAGTGACACGAATTTGAAGATTTGGGACATCAGAAAGAAGGGATGCATACAGACGTACAAGGGTCATACTCGTGGCATCAACACTATCAAATTTACTCCCGATGGTCGTTGGGTAGTGACTGGAGGACTTGACAATGTTGTAAAGGTAAGCCTGCAATATCTATAAATGGATCTTGCGCATTCTCTTTTCCCCAACGTATGTGTTTCTAACAATTGATATAATATTTGATCATATCCAATAGGTATGGGATTTGACTGCTGGAAAGCTTATACATGATCACCGGTCTGAGGTTTATTTGCGCTGTAACCCTGCGGGGAATCATTGTAATTTGTAACCTTTCAGTTTCATCTATGAAAATGAATTAAATTATAAAACAAAACAAAAAAATCAATGTCAGTGAACCCACTTCCAAAACAGAACCATAATAATGCTTTAACTGGCTTAAAGAATTAATGATATAACCAGTCTTGATTAAACCAGAACTCAAATTCAGCAAACCCCAACTTGTTCATCATAAGCCACGAAATTTCCCAAACTAGAGAACTTAGAAATCCACTGTTTGCTCCAAACCTTGTCGTCTACCTACAAAGTGGATATTCAGAAGAAGTAGAAGATATTATTATAAGCAAAGAGAAAGAAGTCAATCTTACAGTTAGAGGTATTACACCGTTTCAGAAACTAGAAGTGTTTTCGATAAGAAATTTGCTTAAGCTGGAGAGTATCTACTGTTATTGCAAAAATTAACAGTAGAAGAGTGTCCACAGCTGAGAAAGCTTCCCTTAGATGCTACAAGTGTCCCACGAATTGCCTGGTTTACAATAGATATGGGTCCTGGAGAAGAGATAACTGAGTTTGAATGGGAGGACAAAGATACCAAAAAACGTTTCTTGCCTTTAATCCATCTGGTAATCAGTTCTCTTATACTCTTCCGCTTGAGTTGTTTTTTTTTTTCATCTCTGAGATTCTTACATGTTTGCTATAGGTTAGCTTGAAGTATGCACCCTTATTTAGACTGATACTCTCCATTTGCATCATGATATATCATATACCCAACAAATACAAATTGGAACAACATAGTAAAAAAATATTAGAAAAGTCAGGCATGTGTTTGGTGGATTAATTTTATTATTTAAAAATGTAAAAACATGTGTATTGATCTCTTCAAAGGATCAAATCACAAACAATTTCTTCTTCTTTTCTTTCCACATTTGGGTTTCTTGTTCAGCAAGAAATAAATGGGACAATAAAAATATATATTAAAGTGGCAGCAGAAGTCCATGGAGCAACAAAAAACGTGATACAATCATCTATGTGCCATAAACCTCGTTGTAGAACCCAAGCTCTAGTTGGTGCGTCCGGAATATGAAACATATAAGAAGTTTCACCAAGTTTTCGAGAAAAAATCTTACACTTCTTCCCCCATATTCGATTTGCCACTGCATTGACTAGAAAAGTTCTACTACCCAACAGATTTGGCAGTAGGATATTCTGGTTTTAGACATGGCTAAATACTTTGTATGTTCGATTTTTCATCATCCTCAGCTTTATAAAACTCCCTGGTCATATTCTTCCTGCCATTCATCAAGTCTTTTCTTAAAAGCTTTTATATACTTTCTACTCTTAGACATGACAGAAATTGTCAATTCCACTTCTTTAGCCTGCCCTTTATCATCAACTATTCTTTTTTCTATTTCAGACTTTTCAGTATACGGATCCATTTCATAGGATGTCATTAATGGGTAATAATATATTGAAGAGACGTTCCAAGTGTTCTGAACTTACAACCTCTGTTCTTCTAGAACAAGACCTTGAAATCAACTCCTCTAATACTTTGAACACTCCGATTTGTCTTAGTGTCTTTTGTTGAACCTAATATTAATAAATATTTGGACTTGTAATATTAAGTTTGTGTGTGAATAAGAAATGAAATTTAATAAGCAAATGAGTCTTATAAATTCATTTGAGATTTGAGTTTGAGCCTATAGAAATGAAATGTTTCTATTGGCTATAACTAAAAATGGAAGTTTAGTGGAAGTGTATTTGTCCCACATTGCTCACTAAGGAGAAAAATATTTTGTATATATATGGCCTTCTCACAATAAGGATCAACAGCATTGTGGAAGTAAAAGGGCATTATGCAAAAATACCTATGCGCGCCGCCGCCGTCGCCGGTGCCGGGCTCGTTGCTCGTTGCTTGTTGCATTTTTTTAGTTGGCTCTTAGGACTTTTGGGCTCTTGGGCTCTATATAGCTGGGTGTGGGTCGTGGGCTTCTTAGTTCCTGCGAAATATTTTTTTGCATATTGAAAGGATAAATCTTAGGAAATAAAAGATTGCGTCCAGATAATAACGGAAGATTTCCGAATCCTTTTACTTGCGGAAAAAGGAGAATATCTCGTGAATATTCCTTTTTGCCAAAGCTTATTCCTTGCGGATCAAGCTGAACCTTCCAGTATAAATAGACGCCCTCTTCTCTCATTCTAGATCATCGAATGAAAAATCGAATTCTCGAATACACCAAACACACAGCAAATAATTATTTCTAGCAAATCCCTCTCGTCTTAATATCGTAAGTGTCTCGAGAGCTATAGCGTAGTATAATCTCAGTTCGCAGATTCTATTACGCGTGTTGCGTAATAGTCTCATCACGGTTGTATCCTGGGATTCAAAAATCGCAACAAACCGTCACACATTACGGACAATTTATTGAGTTAAGGAAAGAGATCATATCTCGACTCCGTGTGTTCGTCTGTTTTCAATCGGTTTTCAAACTCTCGTTTTAATCTCTTACCTTAACATATCGTTTATAATATTGCTATTTTCTATTCGTGATTTCAATCGGATTTTTGCGGTCCTACAATCTTAACTCAATAAATCCGCTTCCTGCTTATCGCTTGAATCGGATTGAATATTGCGAAACAGTTTTTATAAACGGTTTTTGGAAAAGCGAGTTTTTAAAATCGATCTACAAAGTTTCTGAGAAAGTTTCTTAGCTATTTCGTAGAACTTTTGATCTGTTAAAGACGAATCTTCTGAAACGGTTTATGCGGCAGTCATAGACAGGTCCGAAAAAATTGTTAGGGTTTAAGAATGTCATCAAAAGATGATTCTGGGAACACCTATTTTCGAGTTCTAAGAATACCTATTGGTAATATCTGTGGAAACTCAAAGCGAATCATTTTCGGAAAAACGCTGTTCATAGCGACTTAAACGTCTTAATCGCTGATTTGAATCTTGGTTCTCAATACTAACTTCGGTTATCTTCTGTGAACAGATTCAACTATGACTAACGGTGATGTCGACATGACTACCAATGGAAGCTCGGGTGAAGTCAGAATGCCAGCGTCGGTAACCGCAGAACTTCATCTTGACAAGTTCGATGGTTCGAACTTCAAGCAGTGGCAAGAAAGGATGCAATTCTTTCTGTCGTCAATGCAGCTGAGCAAGTACCTCACAGAGGATCCCCCAACAGTGCCAGAAGGAAACAAAGATGCTACGATTCTGGCTACCGTTGAAGCATGGAAGAACTCAGACTTCCTATGCAAAGGGCACATCAAGAATCGCCTGGTGGACCAGCTGTTTGATGTGTACAGTGAGGTCAAAATTTCCAAAGAACTCTGGGATGCTTTGGAAAAGAAGTACAAGTCGTACAATGTCGGCTCTGGGAAATTCGCTACTGCGAAACTCCTCAAGTTTAAGATGGTGGATTCTCGTCCCATCATGCCACAAGTGCACGAGCTGGAACTAATCTTTCAAGAGATTAGGACTGAAGGAATGAAGTTATGTGAGACATTCACGGTGAACTGCTTCATTGAGAAGTTACCTCCAAGTTGGGCATACTTCCAGAACTATCTTGCTTACAAGCAAAAGGCCCTGTCGCAAGCAAGAGGCTAACTTGGTGGAAGAGAACCCCAAGGTGTGGTGGTATGACACAGGTGCTACCACACACATCTGTATTGACAGAGAAATGTTCAGTACCTATCAGAAGTGCAAGATTGATGATCAACTGAAGATGGGAAACATTTCCCAATCCAAGATTGAAGGTACTGGAAAAGTTGTGTTGAAGATGACTTCAGGCATGGAGGTTACTCTCAACAACGTGAAGCATGTTCCAGACATGAGGAAGAACCTGATCTCTGGTACTCTAATGAGCAAGCATGGTTTTGCAATCAACTTTGAGTCTGACCAGCTGATACTTAGGAAGAATAGTGTTTTCATATGAAAAGGTTATGTTAAGTCCGGATTGATCAAAATGTCTGTAATGACAATCTTGAAGAAAAACAAAGTTGTACATGATTTCAAAGATTTAATTAATAAAAACCCAGTTGCTTATGTGGTTGAGTCTTCTAATATTTGGCATGAACGTTTAGGACATGTTAATTACAAGTCCATTCAAAGACTGATGAATTTGAACATGATTCCAAAGTGCAAAATTAGCAAAGACAAATGTGAAATTTGTGTCCAAGCAAAGCTCACAAAAACACCATCACCTCATGTTGAAAGAACTACTGAACCTCTTGGATTAATATACACTGATATATGCGATTTAAAATATCTACCATCAAGAGGTGGTAAAAAGTATTTTGTGACTTTCATTGATGATTGTACAAGGTACTGCTACGTGTACTTGCTGAGTAGTAAAGATGAAGTCTTGGACAAATTCAAAGAGTACAAACTCGAAGTTGAAAAGCAACTGGCAAAGACCATCAAAATGGTCAGAAGTGATAGGGGTGGAGAATATGATGGACCTTTCAATGAGTTTTGCAAGATAAATGGAATTGTCCATCAAACTACAGCCCCCTATTCACCTAAATCCAATGGAGTTGCGGAAAGAAAGAATCGAACTCTGAAGGAGATGATGAATGCAATATTGCAGGAATCTGGGACACCCCAGAATCTGTGGGGGGGGGAAGCACTGCTCACCACAAATTATATCCTCAACAAAATACCTCGTAAGGTAACTGGCAAAACACCGTATGAACTTTGGAAAGGTAATGTACCTTCGTACAAATACCTGAAAGTGTGGGGGTGCTTAGCAAAAGTCGCAGTGCCACTTCCAAAGAAGGTCACAATTAGACCTAAGACTGTGGACTGTATCTTTATTGGATATGCTCACAATAGTAGTGCTTATCAATTTCTGGTACATAAGTTAGATGTATCAGATGTCCAAGTGAATACTATCATGGAATCAAGGCACTCGTGAAGAAAGAGATGTGACTACTTCTGTAAATGAGATGGAAGTAGAACAGGTTGAAAATGAACCTAGACGAAGCAAAAGAGCTCGTAAGAAAAAATCTTTTGGTGAAGATTTCATGATGGTCTTTCTTGTCGAGAATGAACCGAGATCTTACACAGAAGCCATGTCTACACCAGAAG